CATGTTCCTAAAAAAAAAAATTTTTTGTATACGAGAGAGCTTACTTAAAAGGGTGGTAAAATAATTTTATTGAGTGCTTGGTCCGATAAACAAACTAAAAATAATTAAATTGTTAAAGTTAACTTCTGTGGTTATGTATTTCAGTAAAGCTTTTTTTTCGGTTTTGTAATGAAATATAAGGAAAGATATCCGATAACTCTTAAAAAAAAGCCAATCAAAAAAATGTAAAACACATCAAGATATTTGCTTCCTTCGAATTGTTTTTCTTTAAGCTCTTCTTCCCCTAAAAAAAAATAAATAAAGATAAGCGGTTACACAATAGCGTGGTTGTACCTACAAACAAACACAAGCTCTCTCGAGGCTTAATTTGTATCCATATATTAATAAATACCCGATATGCAGGAACCCGAAGAATTGCACGCAAACTCTTCGCCCATAAACTCGTTTTTAGCAAGTGCTTGATATGAATATGCTATAAACGACACGTAACTTCACCGTAAATATATTAGTAAATAATATTTTAGTAAATAATAGAAACACGCAACAACAACAAAAATTTTATAAGCCTCTGACAAGAAACTTTCAATAACGTTTAAGTAAAAAAAAATGGTTTTCATGAGAACGTGCTCGATATAGTAAACACTTGCTAATAATAATGCAACAAACAATAAATATAGTAAAACCACGTAAATAAAAGTTTTTTGTTGAGCCAAGAAAAAAAACATGATGCACGGTTACAGCTCTCATATAAAGGTAGCAGAAAAAACCCAAATAAGCTGTTTTGATACAAGTAAATAAATAATTTCGTAACTTTCATATATAAAAAACTATACATAATATTTCATATATAATAATAGTTTGAGAAATTTAATATGAAAATACAAGAAACAACAGATTAAATAGTCAAATACATGACACGTGAATAAAAAAGTGAATAAAGCAAACGAGAAGCGAAAACGTAGCAAATAGATTAATAAATTTTCACCTTGAAACTAAAAAAAGTTAAACAAAAAACTCCAATAAAAAATAAAGAAATGATAAAATTTAAAAAAGAACAAAAATAATAAAAAAAATTAAAAAGTTTCTTTCTAATTTTAAAGTATAAAAATATTCTACTGCGACCAATAAGAACTAAAGCATCAAAACTATTAAACTTTCAGTAATATTTGAAAAAGTAAGAAAAATAGTATTAAAGGATGCAGTAAAAATAATGAAGATGATCACCCAATCCAAGAAATCCATCTGGGAATAGAAGAAATGTGTACATAAAAGCCGCTGAAAAGCATAAACAATATGACGCAAACTGGCGCTATCGTGTTGCCGACCTCAACACTCGGAGTTGCAGAAGATATAACGAGGCCTAAGCCTGTTGGGTGGTGTTAAAAATGATTAATAATGATTGGAAAGAAAAAATTTTGAAGAAGGCTATTGGTTTGTTAAAGTCACGTGAATGCAAGCTTATATAATCTTTGCTATGAAGCAAAATAACTTAATTATTATTGGTTAACGCGGCGCTAACTATATTGGCTGATATAATTTTATGAATATTTCAGTTAAAAAGTTTAAAGCACGTGACTATACACTTACTTTCTGCAGAAAAAAAGTTTGCAATAAGAACCAGAACAAAAAAGAAGTATCGATCGGCGGACGGGTTCAGCTTCGCCATCCAATAGATGATGGTCCCCAGGATAACAGTGGACCTATGGGAAAAAAGGTTTTTTGTAAACCCCATAAAAATGTTTTATTCTATTAAAACTGTAAACAACAACGAAAATAAAAGTTGTAAACTTTATTATTATATTTTTTCTTATATAAAAACAAGTAACCAAACTACTATAGGAAACTCAGCGAGCGTCTTGGAGGTATAGTAAGAGGACACGCTGTAAAGTTTCGAGTGGCGCTCGCGTATAAAAAGCGGTCGTTCCAAGTGAAAAAGAAGAACTTTCGCAAGCATTGGCTGAAAAGTTTGGTTCAGGCACATAAAAAATAGCACGCCATTGCGGTTCTGTATATCTTTTTTTGTGTACGTTAATTTATAAAATACAATTCCTGTTAGAAGAGCGGTGACCTGAAAGTAATAATAAATAGTAATAAAATAAAGATAAATATTTAAAAATAATCGATATAAAAAAAGTCATACAAGAAAATAATAAACAACAGAGTAATAACAAAACGAAAAAAATATATAATAATAAAAATACCAGAGCCTGAGCGTATGTAGCGGCTGTTGTCCGCCTTTCACGAATAATATTCAAGGTAGCTCTTTTGTACAACGTGCTAAACTCTCCCCACCAACCAACTTTAGGCCCTTCCGAAAAGTCTTTGTTTTTACTATTTTATAGTAAAATTTCATTAAATAAGTATCATGCAAAGCATTTCTTTTTTTTTAATAAACAAAACAATACATTTCCATATTACTATCGGTGTTGCGGGGTTTCTGAAGTTCCGAAAGCGCCTGAACTTTATAAGAACTATTGTTATAAGCAGATATTAATTTCTCATTTCGTTTTCGAGTTTTGTTTTCAAGATCTAATAATAATTATAATTATTAATAATAAGAACAATAGTGTGTGTTTTACAAGGAGTTCGGGTGTCCACCGTAGTCAAGTCTAAAAAAAAGTCAGCCGGAGAATAAGAAGCAGTATATCCTAAACTTTTAAAAAAATTCATTGCTTCGCTTGCAGGTCCATAATAAACTGTTTTTCCCTAACAATAACAATAGAAGTAAGAAAAAGAATAGTAAAGACAATAATCATAGTAACTATAAAATACTGAAGAAAGTAATAATAACTTTGGATAGTAAAAGTAACTTATCAAACAAGTCAAAAATGTTTGATCGAGGTTGGTGGATCGTGCACATGACAGCACGCCCATGTTCACGTGCGAGACCTTTTACAGTTTTCATCACATGGTAGGAAGTAAAGGCGTCCAATCCAGAAGTCGGTTCGTCGAGAAAAAGAATCTATAAGATGATATATAAATATAACAAACATAATAATGTAAAATAGTACAATAGTAATAGTAAAATAAAGGAGGGGCTTTTTAAATATAAAACAAATAAGAATTAACAAAATATTTTTATGAGATATTATATTGTTAGTAACGTTAAAAGATATAAAATTTATTTTACATTAGAAATAAAACAAAATATAAAGTATAAAAAATATTTTCTAAAAAAAAAAATTAATAAAAAATTTATCGCTTAAATCTTTTCTCTTCAATATAAAAGAAAAAATTTTCCAAAAGTAAAAGATATAAAGTAAAACTTATAAAATATTTATTTAATAAAACAGCAAAAGAAAGTGTAAAAGAATAAAAACTGCAATAACAAATAAAATTTATAAATACTAAAAACTTAAAAATAAAAAAAATAATTAATCAATTATAATTATAACAACGTTGTTGAATAATTACTTAGTTTACTTTATCGATATATCAAAATAATTAACAAATAATATAAAAATTAGTGGAAATATTATTTTTTAAAAACAATTTAATAATAAATAAATTCTATATTTTAATATATTTTAAGCATTTATAAATAAATATAATACATATTTTACATATATAAATTTATATAATTATAATAAAACAGTTATTAAGAAAAAAAAATCATAGTATAAAAGAAATTAATATAGTTAACAGTAAAATTATTTTGAATAATGCGATCTAGAGAATAAATATAATAATAATGTGTTAAAAAAATATAAATAAAATAAATAATTTTAATAGTAACAATATTTTATAATTAATTTTCTAATATAGAAAAAAATATATAATATAAAAATGAATGTAAGAAACAAATAAAAAAAATTTTTAATAAAATTAATAAATAAAGGGGCAATTTTTTTATTATTATATAAAATAAGTCATATAAATAAAATTTAAATAAGTCATTAATAAAATAGATATAAAAATAAAATATTCAATAAATAAAAACAAACAAACAATACCTTCGGGTTTGTGAGCAACTCGATGCCGATGGAGCAACGCTTGCGCTCTCCCCCGCTAATGCCCCTCACGAGATTCGACCCGATCCGGGTAGACTGACAGGAGCTTAACCCGAGCTGGGCAATCACCTCGTCCGCTCTCGCTTTCTTCACTTCAGTAGATAAGTTCTTATAATTGTGCAATTAGTATAAAAAAATAGGATGAATACATATATTTAAATAATCAATTATAACATTATAACAAAAATAACAATTTTATGAAATTTCCAAAAATAAAAATTAGCTGTAAACAATGAAAAAAATTAAGTTTAGCTTATATAAAAAATGTACCCCGTTTATATAATAAATTTATATAATTAAATAAATCTAAAAAAAACCGGTATAAAAGGTAGCAATCAATTGTGAAACCTTGGGAAGTCTTAAGAAAGAATTAAAATAAAAAGTTTCCTTCACAGTTAGGTTAGCAAGAAAGACGTCATCTTGCTCAACGTAAGCACATTGCGATCGGAATGACTTGCCTCTGCGTTTTCCGTCTAGTAGAATCGAGCCTAAAATAAAACAATATTTTATATTACATTATATTATATACAACAATTAATAAAGAAAAATAAAAAAAGTTTGATACTAAAAATAACTTGACCAGTTCAATAATAGTAAAATTAATTAAAAAAGGGTACAAACAAGAAGTTAAAGAAAATTTTAGTTGCTAAAAGTAATATATTACACTCGCAGAACATAAAATAAAATTTATAAGAACTTTTAATAAATCTACAGACCATCAACTTTTCCGATATTAGTTCTTCCAGCCATTAAATTCATAAATGTGGTCTTTCCAGCACCTTAAAAAAATATATATTTAAAAGAATTTTAAAAAAAATTAAACTATACCAGATGTCCCCATCACGGCTACCATTTCCCCAGAATTAAGAGATCCGTTTAAATCAGAAAGTAAAGTTTTGGTGACCTCTTTCTATATTATAATTAAATTAAATAAAGTAAATTCAGTTATTTTATAGTTAAAAGAATATATAATACTAAATTACTGTCTCAAAAATTAAAATATATACTTACCTTTTTCCACCAAGGGCCCCTTTTCACTTTCACAGAGTAACTTAAGTCATTCCAGGTTAAAGCAAAATGAGAAAACTTAGAAGAGTCTGCAGCACTTATACTGACAGAAGTATCAGGAATATAACTATCAGAAAAGTCCTCGGACTCGTCCTAATGAACACGATAACATCCCAAAAAATTTATAAAAACTTTACATATAAATCTAGTGAATATAAAAATATAATGATACATAGTAGATAGAAAAGATGCAAGTGCTATAAAGACATTAGACGGCAATACCATAGCAACCTCATCGTTCTGAAGGCACTTACTCTTGCTATCTTTTGACAATTCGCCGTCCATTGCTAACCACTAATGCCATTCAAACAATCAAGAACCTTAACCTAAAATTGAAAGGTTCATTGATACAACTAGTGTTAATAATCTAATTTGGTGCCATAAACACAAGCAGTTTAAAAAAAACATATTACGTACGTTTTTATTGGTCATTTAATAGTAATGCAGTACTTAATATGGTCAAATCAGAAAATTTTAAAATTTTAGGTGCATGTTATTTTAAAATAAAAAATCTTAGCCTGTAAAAAACTTAACCACAAAAATTTTTATGAGTACTTTCAATGTTACCAAAAAAAACAATACTTTTCATTATTTGGAAACTAGACTTTATAATTTTATTAAATATTTGTTTAATAATATTTTAATTAAAAATCATCTTGGCTAACTGCAAACGTTATCAATGACATAAAAGTTATAACGTAGCTTTACCTGTTGGATTTGGTGGCCGTGAAAAGTAAACTTATTTCGATCTAATAAGGTAAGTATATAATCGAAACTGTTTTATTGCCGCTTAGAAGTGGGAAAAAAACTAGTTTTCAGGTTAAAGTTGTCCATTTTCATGTGTTTAACTATAAAACCTTTATATAAAATTAAATGCATTTTTAAAGGGCTCCTTTAGGTGAGGAGCTCATAATCGGGGGAAAACTGACTGGCAGTGGTGCTGGCCGGTGTCTCCAGGTGGCCTCCCTCAAGTCTTATGTCTAAGACTGCCCTCCCGGTGGTGGTTTTTAGCTACTTTTCACCACACTAGGGGAATCTGGGCCCGATAATTTCCGCTTTTTCAGTCCTTAGACCACCTATGGGCCCCCTGTGGTACGACAAAAACGTTTATTTTTGAAGGGAGAATTTTTATTGAGGTAGCTATTAAAGGCAAGGTCACTTAAATATACCAGTTTACACCATAAATTTGCTTTTTACTATTGAGTTGCAAAAAAAAAATTTTAAAATAACTCATATTTTATAGTAAATAATTTAGATTTTTTAAGATCAGTGTAATTGTGTTCAACCCCGGTCGATTTAAATTTTCTTTCGTACCTGCAGTAATAAAGCACTTAGTAAGGTTTTTTACATACCAACTTGTATGATTTTGTAACCTTTATTCAATTTACAAAATTAATTAGCAGATTAGTCTCCTACTTTTTTTAAGAGTGACCTTAACCGGAGGCTTTTTGGCAGAACCACGAAGGGCGCATATTACCTAAATTGCACGATGAGTGTGTTCATCGTACAAAATAAGTTTAACATTCTACTTGTAGGCTATATTTAATCTCTAAGTTAATTGTACTAGCATTCAATTTTACTAATCAGTCTACGCTTTGGGAGACCTAGCGTCTGCAAGAGTCAATAATAACAAAATATTAAATATTAAGCTAAATAAAAATTTCATAATAAAGAATTATTAACCGTTCAACAAAATAATCTATACGATACAGAGGACTCGAGAGTCGCATTTACCCTTAACTTTTTTTAATGATTGCCTTAATTTTTTTTTTTAAAATTGATTGGATTTTTTCGCAACTAAATTAAATGTTGTGTCTACAATTAAAGTACATGGTAACAGACTGTATTAACGCACCAAAAGGTAACGCCACACGCCACTTCTATAAAGATGGCTGGGCGTCGTGTATAAAAATAATATTTAATAAATAAATAGGTATGTAAATTTATTAAAGCTGAGAAAGAAAAGGAAACAGAAAAGAATAGAACAACATTCAACAGACCAGACAGACAAAGGGCAGAACAACAGATTGACTAACACAGAGTTAAACAGACCAAACAAGAACAAATAATCAGAAAAAAAGAGTTGCAGCAAGAGAGGGACCCCCAGTCCACTAAGAAAATTAATGATTCTCCTCCAGTGTGGAAATGATGTATATACTACCAAAAGATTGACCAAAAGTGGTTCCTAACCACGTGCACTAATTTCAATCAATGAAAGAGGGTAACTTAGAAAGGATGGGGTCAGGTCTTAATATTGGAAGTCTCTCGTATAGCAAGCTCTACATTAACCCACCACAGTATAAACTGTTAAAAAAGATACCATCTTTTAATTTATTAAAATAATGTAAAACCTAATAAACGTAAAGTTACGCAAGGGTCCAAAGGACTTGCTAGTAGCACGCGGTCATATTAAAAGAAAAACAAATTCGCTTGCAATTGTATATGAACCTAAAACTGGTGGGGTTCTACAGAAAGCTCGGGTCTAGTCCACGTGATCAGTTACACCTCAGGCCAAATGGCGGGAGTCCTGGTCAGATCCACCTTCCGCCAAACTTTGGCCCTGGATAGTCATGATAATCCCTCGAAAATTATAGGAAACGCCCCTTAAAAACTGAGCGGTCTGCGCTCGGCTTACCGAGCAACCGCAAGCAATGAAAATGAAAAAAAACAGATAACAAATGTTAAAGTTCTAATTCCAACCTAGCTTTCCTTTTTTGTTTAACATTAATTAATACCTAGCTGTGCACTAGTTTGTTTTTAGTCTTTTAAAGCCGTCTACTTCAGTTAAGAAAGTTAAAATTTGAAAATGCTTATCAGTAATTTAAAATGAAGTACTGGTTTTAAACTAGTGGATCTTATTTATAATGTTTGTGTAGCCATGACATAAAAATTTATATAGGGAAGTTAAGATATCAAATGCAATTCGAGTGCAACACAAGCTATTTCAATAATTCACAGTCGAGGGTAGACTTTGTAAGCAAAAGGACGTGTCTTAATCTATTTAGCAAGAATTGCTTAAAAAGGCTACTACTCGTAGAAAGACTTTGATCAAGGTGTCTTACGAAATTTCGCTTCTTCTCGAATACTAAAAACATATCTCAAAACTTTTGCTAAAGTCGTAGCAAATTTAATAATCTAAAGTTGGTAGACATTTTTACCCTTTTTAAATATTGGTGTGAGGAAAACAGAAAAGATGACAGCTGATGCAAGTTAATCTAATATGTGACCGTATCCTCTTTTATTTGGAAGAGGGCCGCTTTGAGACCGGTAGGAAAAGATATTTTTACTTAATGATTTTTTCGAAAAATTATAATTATAGTAAACGTAATGAAGAGGATGGGCCCCGAGAAGGTTTGGAGAGGTAAAAGGTTTTTTAAATCTGTTAGAAGAATATATAAAACGTAAAAGTCGACGACGTTGAAAAAGCAACACTTCTTTCTGATCACTTCACTCTATGGTACAGGCTACCTGCTTCTTTATTGGCGGATAAAACGCTTTCTTAGTCGATCTTCGCCTAGCTGAAGGGCCACCATAGTGAAGAGTAAGATTAGGTAAGCCCCTATTGAGAAGGAAGGCACTTGATTTCTAGTCTCGAGATTAAATTTAAAAAAGGACGCTTCCCAGTTGGGCACGATTAACCCGTTATAGAGGTTACACAATAGCCCGACAACGCCGGCATTCCATCGTGATGCTACAAGCTAATGCTTATAGAGCATATACTCAACTTAAGGGTTATTTTTGGCTCCTTCCCGTTACAGTGCTGTTACGACGCTCCTGAAGATACCGCGAACAGTCTCTATACCAAAGTCTCTCTTAGCAGTTGGCAAAGTAGATGTAACCGTCATATTGTGCTGCTTGAAAACATTCGTTGAGCAAGCTTTGCCTTGCCACCATTCTTATCTAGATTTTAGCAGGAGAATTCAACGACGCAACAACCCCGTTTGATAAAATGGACTTTTTGTGCCTTCATTTATAAAGGTGATAACAAGAACTGTAATTTGATGTCAGAAAAACATTCCTCCTTTTCTTTCCAACTTGCTTATGCTTAAATTATATTATAAATCCATCCTAATTGTACTTTTGAGTTATGCATACTCGCCCTCCTAACTACTTAGTAAAAGTCTCACCTGATTATCTTTTTCACCCTTGCTCGTTGAAGACTGACAATTCCGCACTGTGAACAGCTTTACCCGCATTTAGTACGGCGATTTTATACTTTGCCAAAATCACCAGCTATTTTTCTCCAGCATCTGCTGTATTATCTAGTCACGCCCGTAATCGTTGTAAAATCACTATTAGTGCGCGATTATATTTATATATACTGGTAAAAAGCACTATTACTCTCCATAGCCACTGCGAGGGTAGCTAAGGCACGCACTGACTACATTGACTACACTAATAGAGTTATACAGAAATCAAAAGTCCAAGTCCATTACATTGGGATTGAGAATAGTCACCGTAGTTTAGCAGTTAAAAGCATTGACTTGTTAAAATACGCCGCTCTCTTTTCCGGTTTTCGAAAGGTTGTGTATTTTACCTTACAATATGATTCGTTTGAAAGCACAATGACTTTAAAGCGCTAGATGCGCTAAGCCTCGCCATTGCAAAGGCGGTAGACTCAAAAACTACGGGATATAAAAAGATTTCTATGTACTTTATCAGACAGGAGTGTAGATTATCACCTTGCCACAAGATTGAGCATTACTCGATTCTCGTCGGTGCATCTAACACTTACTGCTCTCTGGTGATTACGTGTATGTCTTCTCTGAAAACAAATTTTGATAAAATGCACCATTACTGCCGCTGATCTTTAAAGATAAAGTAATCCCGAAAATTTCCCAGGCGAATTAGGGGATCAGCCTAAGCAATATTTTTTGTGCCCTTTGTTATGTGGTAAATACAAACTTTCGCTACGCAAGGAAAAATGCTCGGCTCTACCGTATATCTGACCAATTAAGGCATACGCGTCTGGTACCAGGGCCCATGACTCGCAGACAGTAAACTCCCTTGAAGGGTGGCCAAGGGTCATATTCTCAGACAAAAAATGATAAACCTTATTAAGTACTGGAGTGCGTCAATGAGTTCAAGATGTCCGACCACAACTCCAATTGTTATTGCAGCTTCCTGTTTCCACTTGAGCTCACTTCTTTTTGTTAAATTAAAATATTAATTTGACAACTGCAAGCTAGAAAAAAACTAACACCCTATACTGAGCTGGTTGCTTTTAATGTTTAAGGTAACTTAGAAAACTTTATTTTCAATATAAAACTTGCGAAAAATATATCCCTTGTAAATTTTCGGAAGGCAAAACGTTGAGGTTAACAGAGGTAGCGACTGTACTACTTGCACAAAAGGTTACGCTTGTAATATTTAAGCGGTTGTGATTCAAATAAACAGCATATAGCGACTTTTGTTAGTTTCCGTGAAGCCTACAACTACTAAGTGAACAATCGCCTCTCCATAATATGGGTCAACTATTTTGGCTTTAGACTGCTTTTTTAATAGAAAACTTCAGTTAAAAACTACAAAATAATTGAATTTCTTTAAAAAATACGGGAGCATAGGTTTCATAACAATATGTGCTTACTAGTTGGAAAGACAATTAGTGTTACAATAATAATAATAATAACTGAAAATGGAAACTATAGAGATAAATGTCTGAAAGAAATACAGCTCCGAAAGTGCTACCTATTGGATTAAAAAAGAATTTGTTGTGCTACTAATTTGCAAAGTCAGTTTCTTTCGACTCATTTTAAACTGTGATTTAAAAGTCTATTAATATTTTTACCGAAATGTCAAGAAAAAATACAACTTCGTCATCTTACTTCGTCATCTTTTAGATATACAATTATGAAGGAGAACGAACGAACCATGAATAGGATAAGTTTATATATCTATAAGAGCGTAACAGTGTAAGTTGTACTTAAAAAAAAGTAAGTGGTAACCAGTTAATTATAATATATGGAATATTAGCTTAAAAGCTAAGTCATATTTATTATTTAAAATAGTAAAATAATATAAACCTAAACATAAGGTTTATGAAGAATCGTTATAAATAAAGATGCAATAATATTTTTGCTAATTTTATTTTAATATAGCGCAATACGAACTTATCACCTACAAAACGTTTAATTCTATAAAAAAAATTTTCTAATATAATAAAAAAATACCGTTAAATAATAACAGGAAAATAAACTAAACTCGTGAAACATTATTTTACAGATAAAAACTGAGAATCCACCAAAATTCTACTATTTCTATATAATTTTTTTCAATTGGGTTTATTAGTTGACTTCTGTGAGAATGCTATACACATACTTTAACTTATAAAGTACAATTGTGCATCTGATTACTGTACTAAAAATTTATACATTGTTATTCCCGCAGTTCTTTCAATTTCTACTTTTAACTTAAAGAGCCCACGAGTTGTTTGAAAATAATAAATAATCTGTTGGAGTTACATGTCGGCTCCCATCTTCTATTGGATCATTAAAAAATTATGTATTAAATAATATATTATTTTACAAAGCGAATTCCCTTTTACTATTGGATCTTTCTTGATAAAAAAGTCGAAAATGTGTTGGATTGTAACCCTTTCCCCTATTGGCCTATCCCAACTTATCAATGCAAAATAATAAATAGTAACATTCCAATTGAGTTATCCAACTATATATTTATTTATTTTCTTTAAGTATAAAGTCGAAGTGTTGAATCAGCAGCAGCGGCAATAATCCACGGTTGCTTAGGATGAAAAGAAACATCGTATAACGCTAAAGTTTATATATAGAGGATAGTAATAATACGGAACTATATATTAATACCGCAAGATTTCAAGTTCTTTGGAGAGCATAAACGCTTAAGAGGTACAATTAATGGATTTTGTAGAAGATCACTAAAAACACGTCCGTGAAAAACGTGTACAAAACCATCATCACTACAAGTGGCAAAAAGGGGATAGCGCCGGTGATAGGCTACTGCTCGTATGGCCTGGTGATGGTAACTGGAAATTTTTATATCAATAATTATAATAATAATAATAGTAATAAAAAACATACCGTAAAGTTTTATAAGGCTTCGAGGACAAGTCAAGGTCAAACCAAGAAAGACGTTTATCGTAACTTCCAACAATAATATTATCACCAGCCGAATGGATATCCATACAGGAGAGCCATTTGGCAGGCGAGAGTAGTTTCTTTAGGAGTTCATGTTTTATTAAGTTGTATATGCGAATATAACGTTGTGTCTATGATAGTAGTAATAATAATAATAATAATAATAATAATAATAATAATAATAATAATAATAATAATAATAATAATAATAATAATAATAATAATAATAATAATAATAATAATAATAATAATAATATAATTACAGCAACAAAAAGAAAAGGTTTGAGAGGATGAAAAGCCACACGCTGGACGGGTCCAGGAGGTTTCATAAAAGGAGTTTGCGAACGGCGTTTACTTAATTGGTGTATAAAAACAGGCACTCGATCTGTATATAATAATAATAACAATAAAAATAGTAAGAAAGTATTTTCATAGTATAATAAAAAAAAAGAATAAAACTTATTTATACTTTACTTTCTCTAAAAAAAATAAATATAAATTATAAATTTACCATTAAAAAGTTGATAAAAACTAAACGCAAAATAGTCACTGCACTAAAAGTATTAATACAATAACAACTTTTTAAGTAAAATTAGTAGAACAGTAAAAAATATATAATAACAAAATGCGCTTAACTTTTAAATATAGTAATGTTACAATACTAAAACCAAAACTTATATAAGTCTAATTAATAATCAATACTCTAAATTCTATATCTAATAATTCACTATTTTTGTTCTATATAATTTTGTTTCAATTCTAATGAATATTATATTATATAATATTCGAATAACCTTAACATGAGATACTATTATTAATGTTATATATATATAAATTAAGGAAGTAACATGAAAATTTTTTTAAACAAAATAGTATAACCCAAAAATAATAATAAGTTTTATACAAAATATTTATATAAACTAAAAAAAAAATATTTGATACGTGATAATAACCACATAAATAATAAACTTTAAAGATGGAAACTTTAAAAGTTTCTTTTAAACTTTTTTTTAATACGTTTCGAAACAGTAACGCAATAGTCGCCTTTACAGTGCCATGAAAAGTCCATTAATTGGCTGGCATGAGATATCCGCACGCGATGGCCCTATAAAAATATCTTAAATTATCTTAAAACCAATCAGAGTCCTTAAAAAAATTGGTGGCCATAATCATTGGCTAAAAAAGCCTTCCTTCTTTGGTGATAATGAAACCATTAAAAAGGTAATGTTATATTGGTTATGAAATTAACATAATAATAAGCAAATATTACAACATTAAGGTCGAGCAAAAAATATTAAATTTTATAGATATAAATAAAACAAGCCGCCAATGAGACAAAATATAAAATTCTAAAAATATTTCAAATTTAAAACACCAATCATAGCAATTTAAGAGCATCAACTGAAATGCATTACTCAAGTTATGATTATTTTTATAGTTCAATAATTTAGAATGCAATAAAATACCGTACATAAATTAAAAAATTTATACTAAATTATTATAATAGTTCAATTAAAAAATTCCTCAAATATATAAATACTCTGACCAATCATAAAAATTAAAACCAATAAACGCCGCAAACCAGAAACTCCGATAGAAATATACAATATAAATATTAATATGCGTATGAAATCGCTTTTACTTTAATAATAATGATATAATTATGAAAACCTCGGAAAACTCTTCATTAGACGGTTCGTTCCACAGAACGAAAGACTCATTTTTAACAGGAGCTTGTGTGTTTAAATCATTCATTACTGTTGATAAAAACTTTCGTTCCAAAAATTCATAAAAAAATAATTAATGGCGGTTTTAGTAATGTAATATTCTTTTTAAGGTTTTGATGTTTTCTGTTTTTATTTTATAATAAACAAATAAAAATTCACCTGATCCGTGTTGATACGAACTTTTTTCGAGCTAAATTTAGTATTAATGACGTATAGTTCAGTCCCACTAATAATAATAATAATAATAATAATAATAATAATAATAATAATAATAATAATAATAATAATAATAATAATAGTGATAATTACGCAGCCACGGCTAATAAGTTTATAGCAAGAGAAGGAGAAGAGGAAACTTTGACGACAGGCGAACTAAATGTATAAGTAAACAAGCAACGGCCACTAATAAGCTCCCAAACTTTAACGGTGCAGTCATCAGAACCTTGAAACAATCAAAATATAGTGAATAGCCAAATAAAATTAATGAAATAAAAAATAATAAACCAGAATATAAATATTGGCCTGTTGGATCCACAGCAACAGAGCGAACAACCCCGGTATGGCCCTAAAATACAACATATATTTATTGTATATAAACATAAATTACAAAAAAAGTTATTCTAAAATAAAAGATAACAAAAATCATAAACACTAAAGGCAAATAAAAAATATCAAAAAAGAATGAGAAACCTCAACACAACAATAAAAAAAAAGAACGCGAAATTTACTTTATACACAAGCACGCACGTGGACGGAAAAGGCTGTAGATCTTTTGGAGACGGAAGTTTCGGGATCAAACTTTCGGGATCGGCGTGGACTCGAAGTTTTCGAGTTCGTGGGCACAAATACAAGTCGAGGCACCGTTCAAACTGCTCTTTAACAAACTCGTTATAGCGTGGAACATGCCGCAAGCAGGAATAACTGTTTTATTATAAGGAAAAAGTGTAAAAAATAAAGCAGTTTTTATTAATAATATAACTATTAAAAAAATTAATAAGAGAAGTAAGTTATGGTATTTATTACAAGCAAAAAATACAAAATTACTATTATTTAAAAAAAAGGAAAACTCTACAAAGTATATGAGAGTTAATAAAAGCAAGAGAATATTATAAATATATACTTAGTTAATAAAAAAAGTAAAACAGAGTTTTTATAACAATAACTCACCGCAGCTATAACAACTATACAAAAGTATATAAATTATTATAATAATATTTACTAATAGTAAAAAAAAAATTAATAAAAAAAAGTTTTTTATCAATATTAATTCATAAAAAGTATAGACTAAAGTTTCAAACAGTACATATAAATATTAACACTTTTGAAACTATTATAACGTCTACAGAAAGCAAAATATTTGCCTTAACTATTAGTAAATCTGTTATAAAAAATATCATAGGCTTTTATTATTAAAAACTATTAAATTTTTTTTTATATTATAAGAGAGTTAGTAGAATTGAGCAGGTGTTATTATTATAATAATAAAAAAGTTATTATTTTTATATAAAATACAATATATAATGATATTATTACGAATGAGGAATAAAAGTTTTTAAATTTTTCTTCAATGCAACTTTCTTCAGTTCTTTATCGGTTAACAAATATTCTTCAGGAGGGTTATAGGATTCTTGATGGCCTGAAACATAAACAATATATTCTATTAATGATATTTAATAATAATAAATATTAATAAATAATAAACAATGGTAAACCTAATGATATAATAATAACTAAAAACCTGGTAGCTTCCGTTTGGGCGCGGTGAGATGCGAAGTTTTTTTAACTCTAAGGACATCTGAGTCGATCCAAAGAGAATACCATCGCGGCTTATTCACTTTTGGTCTGGTAATATAAAACACCCATGAGCACGTGGCGCTAAACATATACTGTTCGTAAAAAGGCGCGGAGCAATATTACAAAATTATTTAGAAGCATATGAAAAGTATTTATAAAATAATGAAGAACAATGATAATACGCGTTCGGCACAATCCAACCGCGGCGAATCGCACGGACAAGTTTGGCGATTCGCTGATGCTCGTGTTTGGAAGGAATGAATCTCCTCTTCGGCTCAGGTGCGTTCGTCATTGGATGAATCGAAACGTCTTTAGAGCAGATATCCTCAAATCGCTGAGAAAAAAATAATGAAAATGCATTGAAAAATAATGAATATACTGTCTGTGTCATTACGCCTCTGTAAAATTTTTATCACAATAGGAAAAACAATTCTACTTATTTTACGTTAAATTTATATAATATCGTATATAATATACATAAACTTTCCCGCATTATTTACTTTCAATCTTTAAATATTAATTATTTCCTATTTTGCTTATAAAAAAATAATAACAATAATTTTTCTTATTATTATTATTAATTTTGTTAAATAACTTTTTTATATGGTTGTTATTCTTTCTCAATAATACTTTATTTAAAAAAATTCTTTTATGATATTTATAATATTAAATTTTATAGTATTTACTTTTATTTGACAATTACTTTATAGTAATAATATTTTTATTATAAAAAGTTTTTTAAAACGTTTATAACTTCATAATAATTGAAAAATATTCCAGTAATATTATAAAATAAACTTTTATTAATAATAATGTTTACTATAAAAATTTACTAATGTACTTAAAATAAACATTATTTATTATATTTATAATACTTATTTTTTTAATAAAATTGCAAAGTATATTTACACTTTCAGAACTTTACTATTTTATAAATAAATGCAAAAAAAACCATTATAGAATTTAAATTATTATAATACGATAAATACTATTTAATAATAGAAAACTTTATAAAATTATTGATAAATTTGAACTTTAGTAAAAGTATTATTATTTCTTTTCAAGGTTCTTTATTAACGATTATATAAAATTTAAGAAAAATTATAATAATTTTGAAATTATAATTATAATTAAAGATATCTAGAAAAAATAAAGAGTTTGACTATTATAAAAAAAAAATTTCTAGAGTGTAGCAAAAAAAAATTATTTTTTTAATCCAAAAGCGCTAATAAACTGTAAATTCATCTTTGGAAATTAATATTTTCTTAAAAAACCAACGTAAAATAAAATTAATAACAATTAAAATTAAAATTCCGAATAAAAAAATATTATTTCAAAAAAAAAGTATAGTAAATTATAAATAAGAAATACTTATAAAATAGGTATATAAATTATTATTAAAAAAATTTAAAACTTTAATTAATTTATATTTCTGTGGCAAATAACAGTCAATAAAAATTTGACTTATATTAAATAATTTATATAATATAAAAGATATAATAATCAAAATTAACTAAATATAGAAGAAAATTAAAAAAAAGAAATTTTAATTAAATTAAAAATTTCTGAAAGCCGGAAAAAATTAATTTTAAAAATAAAGAAAATAAAAAAGTAAATATCATTATAACAAAATATCAATCTTAACTAAAACTTTTATAATTAAAACATTAGAACATTAAAAGAAAGAATATAACAAAAAGAATCTTGAATTGTAAAGAACTTACTTGTTGATCATTAAAATCAGCGTGAGCAAAAGTTCCACTCTGAATTCTTCTAACCATCTCAACTTCTTCGTCAGTCAATATTATTTCTTTCATATTTAACTTATCTAAAACAGTACGTCTATATAGTAAAAAAAATAATAATAATAAAAAAATTGCTTCTAACAAAAATTAAATTTAAATGAAGACCCAAAATCCGGATTGTCCAAAGAATCAAGAAACTTTTCCAAATTATCTCCAAAAGCAGGTTTAAAAATTTTCTTTCCGTTAACATCATAACCTATATGTGGGAAATCTTGATACCACTCCATCGGAATTTTGCCAACCGTATTTTGACCCACAAACTCATCTTCCGACTCACTGGAGACTACGTTAGAACAATGAAAAATAAAATATTATAAAATTAGTGAATTACTTTTAATTAAATTTAAAAAAAAATTAAAAAATTACTTATTAATCAGTAAATAAAAATTTTAATAAAAAGCGGAATTTACGATAATTATAAACAAAACAACTAAACATATTTAAATACCAGCAACTTCAAAACTTTCTCTAGTAACTTCCGAATTACTAAAATTTTTAGTTAATAAATTATCAAAATTACTGTCATTAAATTCATTTTCTATTTTATTAGCTGAAATATCCCCTTCATGAGAAGTTTTACCGTTTTTTTTATTTATTTCACCATTCTTATAAAGGTTTAAATCCGTAACTTGGCCCTGTTTTCCAGTATTTTTTTTTAAAACATTCATATTAAGTGTTGCATAAATTATATGTTCATGAAAAATATGTAATAGGATTTTTATAACATATTTCTTAATAGTAAATGAGGCCAGTTTAGGATATAGAAAAAATGAAAATTACTCTATAGAAAGAACGCTAGCATTTAGGGGTGTATTCATGCTACTAACACGTGAATTATCTGACCTCTAAGTTCGATTAACAGTTTCATTTTTCCTGTCTTTTGTTTTTCTCCATATCTTTCTCAATACGCGACTATCTGCTTGGTCTATAGGGCCTAGAGTAACAGTTTAACTAATTATACAGATTTATATTATTTAATTTATCAATAATTATAAGGTTAATTCCCTTTTAACGTTTTTAGAAATATCGAAATACTTTATATCCAGACGTATTTATGACTATGTTTCCAGTCGGTTGCTGTAAAATTTTTTAAGAACAGTTAGTAGCTTAAAATTTACTTAGTAGCATTTGATATTTAAGTTACCCAAAACTGAAATGTTTTGAGGTTTACTTATAGTATTTTTTAACTAGACAATTGCATATGCAAACTTAAAAATCGGTTTTTAGTTTGCAACTTAAAAAAAAACTAAATCTTTTCAGGACAACGGATTTATGCAATTAAATTTACTTTTCGCCCTTCTATGAACTAATAAAACTCCTTATTATATTATTAGTGAATTTTTTTCAGAATAGGCTTAATTTTTGGCTAGCTCTATGAGTTCTTCAAGATTGATTAATTTAACCATTCTTAAAACCCTTTTAAGTATACAAAAAATTGATTTATAATAGAATTATTATTAAGATTTGTTAACTTATTTTTACTGCAAGGGACTTTACTATTTTCAATTCCGCCCAGTTTTAACCTAAAAATTAAAAGTTAAGTAGGGCTGGAGCTGTTCCAGCCTTTACTAATTTTAGCTTCGTATATTTTTAAAGACCCAACCTTGGGAATTTGCTTGACCAGGCCTTAAAAATGATTTACTCACTTATTTTATAGAGTCAACGAACTAATACTTTTATTAGGTTTTCTAAGGTGAAACTAAAAAAAACATTATAAAATGAAATTTTTTAAGTGTTTAGTAAAGTGAACTGCTTACGTGTAAATTGCACGTGGCAAGAGGAGGAGTCCTATAAAGAAGTGTAATTAAAATTAACTAAATCAACATACTATATTAATTCACATAATAGGCCGTAAAAATTTCTTAAAATTTTAGGGAAGTCAAACAGTAAAAACCTAAAATCCTTACTTTTTCTGTACGGGGTGATAAGTCAGAAAGTTATGAATGATTAATTTTATAAAAAAAACTTTAAATTTGCTTAACAATAGCTACTCGCTAAAACAATTTATTATATAGTCTTTTATAAAGTTAGAAGGCACATATTTTACGGTCAAAAAAAAAAAAACAAAGTTTTCCCTGCCTATCAGGGGGTAGCAGCTATCCACCACACGTTCATAAAGCGAAGGATCACCCTTTTTAAGTATTTCTTTGGAAATTAAGTAATGAGCTTTAATATTAAAGGCTTTGTTTTAATAAAAACTTATTTTATACCCCAGTTATATGCTTTCTGCGATTTTTTTCTTTTTGTTGCTATTATCACCACTTTAGTAACTATATTTTACCATCTTGTTTATGTAAAAAATAACACCTCCAGCGTTCAACCCTGGACCTCTTCTCCCGAAGTCATTAAAGTAATACTTAAAACTTAATTTTATTTCATTTTTTAAAAAAAATACGAGTACTTATTAGCTTTTTTATATATCTGTAAATTTTATAGATTAAATTCAAATCGAGAAAGATTTACGAGGAATGTAGGCACAAGAATCCCAACGACCACAAAATTGCAAAAGAGTTGTTATTAAACAGAGCCATAGACGCTTTGAAACGGCAAAGTATATTGGAAAATTATCGAAAGGGTTATTTTTTTAGTGTTTTATTATCTTTTTTTTAGTCAATTTTTTATTATTTTTATGTGTTAGTAATAACTTTTTTTCCAAAAAGTTTAGGGTTTCTTACTTTAAAAGATAATCTACCAGACGACTTTTCTAAACAAGTAGAAAGTCTTTTCTTAGAAATTGACAAAGAAATGGTCGAAATTACAGCTGAAAGTAATCTTCTTGTGTCAGGATGGGGGAATTCTATATTTAACGATGCTTTTCACCTATTGGAAAAGTTTAGTTCCCATATAGAACAAACTGTTTGATAACTTTTAATAAGCACCAATACTTTATTTTATACTATGAATATAATTTATTTTTTTAATAATATTAAAAGAAACATTTCCTCAAAAAATGAATTCGAGAAACTTCTTTTAGATGCTCTTGATAAAATGGAAAAGACTGGTTTAATCTTTTAATCCTTTTTTTTTTTTATAAATTATTTTATTTTAAATCCTCTCTTTTTTCTCTACTTACTTATTATTATCCTCATAGTTATTATTTTTTAATAGGAGATAAGCCTATTTTAAGAGCTGGAGAAGATGATAATAGTCAACTCGTTTCTATTAATTTTTCAAAACGAAACGATAAAACTTCACATTCTATTATAGTTTCTTCCCGTCTTTTAGAGTTATATAAAGTTAATATATAATAAAGGTATTGTTCCTCAGATATTTTTTAGTTTTGAGCTATAATAATTTCTTAAATTAATTATACATATAAAAGCGAGGTTAATAAAATTATAAGCAATTTACTTGAGGGCCTTATCGTTTTTTTCTTAACGATACTTTTGGCGTATAAAAAAAAACATCAACTCCCTTTGAGCAGATGGCAGGGATAACTTCCGCCCGCTGCTATAATATTAGTTGCTGGCCTCTATGTTAATACTGCGATGGCTTGCGTGCAGCGCGTAGATGAGGTGATTGAAGCTTTTTTTTTTTTAAAATTCTGAAAAGTCGCTGCATTTGCTTAGTTCAAAGAAAGATTTCAAATTTTAGGATGCTGACATTAAAATCTGGATGGGATTGATGACGACTTTTTAAGTGTTTGGTTTAACAACTAAATAGTTTCCAAACACTCCACTAAAATCTGTTTTATCTAATTTCAGAGTGATTTATTTTCCAGAAAATATTTAGTTATTAAAGCTGCATAACAAAAAAGTCTATATTTATGCATTTTTTAAATTTTATTCTGGTACAAGTAACAAAGCGCTCGATAATTCCTTTATAAATTACATTAAGTTTCAAATTTACAACCTTCTTTTTAAGCCTTTTACAGTTAACGATAAGATCAACGCAATGCTTTTCAAAATTTATAATATAGGCGCCCTTAAATTCTATGACCTTCTAACTTTCTTAGAGCTCTTTGAAGGCAATGAAAAGTTAAAATATTTGAAAAATAGAAGTCTGCAAAGATTTTATTGCAAAAGTATATATTTCTCCCAGAAGATTTACATTATAAACTTAATATTCTAAAAAAAAAAATTTGGTATTTATGCCTCCAAAGTGAATACCTTGACTGAAAATCCTATTTAAAAAATCATTAACGAAAATAAGAAAAATTGTTTATAAGAATACTTGTGTGTATGAGGAGAGTTTTCAACCTTTTTATTACTAAAAAAAGTTATATATGATGTATATTTATAATTTCTCTTAAAGCTTGTTTTTATAACCCTTAATTAGAAGCGAAAGTAAAAAGGGATAAACTTTAGCAAGTAAAAATAGTAAGAGAAGTCATGCATTAGAAGCAATAAATAATTATTAATAAAATATATGTAACTATAATATAGTTATGTGTCTATTTTTCAATAATCCTTTTTTTGGTCACACTTTTTCTGTTATAAATGCACAAAAAAGTATTGTAATACACAACTAATGGAAAACCCGAAGGGGTTTTAAACGTTAACGCCAATGCGATTTTTCATTATGCTGGAAAACCCTTACGGTAGAGTACGGCTGTGAGCGTTTTGCATTTGCTAACTTTGTATATATTTTGTGGCTATGGGTAAGTTTTAGTAACTTATATTTAAAATAATATATTTTACAGATATTTTGTTAGACCAACAATATTATTAATATTATTATAATATTTAGTTCGTTTTTTTAAATTTGGTCCAACCTTTTCTGGCCTTCATTCCGGAAGTAGTTCGTCCAGAAAGAAAGATTCAAGTAAGGGAGCGAATATTATGGACCATCGTAACTCTTATGATCTTCTTAATACTTCAACACATCCCTTTATTTGGGATAATGGCCTCGGAAAGTGCAGATCCTTTATACTGGTCTCGTGTAATAATGGCTTCAAATAGAGGTTCTTATGAATTTTTATTTAAAAGAGGCTTCATTATATTATTTGAATAACCTCTAGATTATTTAATCTATTTTTATTTAGTCAACTATTTTTTGCTTAATAATAGATAGAAAATTGTTATCGGATTTTATGTTTATATTAATTATAAAAATGTTAGGATTTGAGTGACCTTATAATTGTTCCTTAAGTTTTAATAAACATAAAGTTTTTGTTTAGAACTATTAATACGATAGTTAGTGGTCTCTAAATTTTGAGTGATATAAATAAAATATATTACCAATTAATATGGTTCACTAGAGATTTATAAATACTTTAGATTTTTAATTGTATAAATAAAAAAAGGGGTTTTCGTTAACTATTTCACTATATTTTATATTATAATGTACTCTAGGATGTACAGCTTCTATTTGTTAAAGAAACTACTTAATTGAAATAAGTTCTAGTGATAAAAACATTGTTTGATGGTTTTATAGTAACAACGTAGTTATTATCGTAAAAATGTATATCTATGACTATCATAAGTGCAACTTAATATTCTACTTCTAAAATTTAAAACAGAATGCTGAAATTTTTTTAAATTTAATTTCTTGCTTTATAAAAATCTTTTACACGTAAAATATACCACTATTATTAAAAACGCTATACATAAAGAATTTATTACAAATTTTAAGCAATATTTCTAAATTACTGATAAGTAGTTCATAGTACTGTGGATTATCTAATTTGCATATATGAAAGTAGCGCTCCATAAAAAAAATTAATATTAAATTTTAACTTAAGCATTATACGAATTTTGTGTAATTATTTATTCATATTATTTTTTAAGGATTCATTTATAATTTTTTTTAAACTGATGCTATTAATTAATTTCTATTTTCATCTCTGAAAAGGCACGCTAATGGAACTTGGAATTACTCCTATAATTACTTCTGGAATGATAATGCAGCTGTTTGTAGGACTCGGGCTTATAAAAGTGAACCGTGCTGTGAAAGAAGATCGAGCTTTATACTCCGGAGCTCAGAAATGTTCCATTTATAATTTTTTCCTTTAAATTAAAAGTTTTATTAGTTGATTATTTGTACTTATAATTTTTTTAATAAATCAATTTTTTACAAATTTTTTTTTGGAGTTGCGGTAAATTATTTTTGTACTTCATACACTTTGCTTAAAAGTGTACTTATTTTCTCCTTTTCTGCGTATTTTGGTTTGAATCTACTTATAATACTTTTAATACTGATATGTAGCAATTCGATGAAATATTATAAACCTTTTTTGCCCCGTTGTAAATAAATTTTTTACTAGCAAACTCTTCTACGAATGATAAAATGTTTATTATATTAATTTTACATCTCGTTACAATTTTTTTTTTTCCAAAACATTTTTATCAAGAAACTTTTAGTGTCCTACTTATTTAGGCTTGGTAAGAACTTTTACTAGTAGTTGCTTATTAACTTTATTTTATATTAATTTCTAACTATTTTTTGACCAGTAGCTTTATTTTTAAGCATTTTTTGACCAATAATTATAAATTTCTTTATCTGTATCAATAATTTTCCTTATTATCTTAATGTTTCTACTTGTAGCCAAATTATACTACTAATCTTGTATTGGGACTTTCTTATTTTAAGTTCCTTATTTGTAATTACAAGCCAGTAATAACCAATAACTTTTATTTTCCATAAGCCAATAATTATTCATATTTTTGTTATTTGTACCACTTTTTATTTGTGACTGAATAAACTTTTTAGATTATCAAACTTTTAATTGTATCTATAACTTTTATTTCAAAACTTTTCTGCTACCAAAAACTTTTGATTTTATTAAACTAGTTTATGATAAATTGTGCTGTTCCTCGATTTTACTGAAAAAATTTTATTATTAATTGACTTTTCTTACGGCTTCTTTTACTTTTTTAAACAACTATTTTTATAATTTTTCTTTATACTCAGTTTATATATTAATTATTTAATATTTCTGTACTTATTAATTTTTTTAATACCATCATGCATTTTGATTATTATTACAGTTGTCTTAATTAAAATATTATAACTTAAATTATTTTATTAATTGACTTTACTTTTTAGTATTTTCATTAATATATCCATTTTACTTTAATATACTTTTTCATTATTAAATTTTTATTATTATTATAAACCTTATAAAGTTTTTTATTTTTTTTAAATTTAATTTTTTTGTATACTTGTTATAACTTTTTACAATCATTTTGTTTATATTTATAAAAAACTTATATGCGTTTTCATGGTTTTGATCATTTATATTATCTTTAAAAAACTTTTTATTTTTGTTTTTGTTAAAGTTTAGTTTTTCATTAGACTTGTATGTTTATTTCTTTTGTTATTAAGTTTTTGTTGTTTTAAATATTTTTATCAAATACTTTATTATTATAATATCAAAACTATTATACTTTATTAAGTTTTCTTATAAATCATTACAGAGTTAGTGAACTGTTAACATAAAATGTAAAAATATATATTACAACAACAAAAATATTCTAAAAAGTAATACTTGTAGTAGTAGAAGTGCTGTATAATAATAATAATAATAATAGTAATAATGATAATGATAATATTATTAAAATAAAAACTTTGAAGTGTTTGGAATTCTACTTGGCGGTGCGCAGGCGACGTTGTACGTCCTCAGCGGGATGTACGGGGAGCCGTCCAAGCTTGGCTTTGGCATCTCTCTGCTGATAGTCGTGCAACTCACATGGGCCGGCCTCGTTATTTTGCTATTGGACGAACTTTTGCAGAAGGGCTACGGGTACTGCTTATTATTAATTTATTTATAGATACAATTAAAAAGTTTTTATTTCAGATTTTTATATGATTTTGCGTAAAATTCTAAGCAATTATAATTTTTTATTATTATCTCGACCTTGTAAAGTTGAGTTTAATAAACTTTTCTTTATAATAATTATGGACTAAATTATTATTGTTGTTGCTTATAATTATAATGAATATCAAACTTTATGCTAATATTTATTACTTTGTATAAATATTGATATATATAATCAAAGATAAAAATTAAAAGTAAAAGTTTATTAAAATAATAATAATCAGCGATATAAAAAATGTACATGCGATAATTATTTTTTATATCATTATGAGGTAAACGTTATTATTTATTTTAATTATCGATAATTTTTTCATATAAACTTTTTTTTATATAATATAAATTTGCTTTATGTTATTTTTTTAAAAAAGAATAAATATAAAGATAATATTATAAAATAAACAATAAAGTATATAATATAATATTAAAATATCATAAAAGGTTTCTTTTTTATTGTTTACGAGAACACAATAGTAGTAATTATAATGATAGTAATGCTTCTCTACTTTTTACATTATTTATTATATTTTCTTTTAGTTTTCTAAATTTCCTTTGGAAATTCTTTTTTAGTTTTTATTAAGACTAAATATTTATATGAAACTTTTTTATTCTTTTTATTATATTAAAAATTTTTTAAATAAACTTTTTTTTTACAGTATAACAACTTTTTAAAGAAGACTATCCATTTTTTTATTTTTTGTATTGCAATTTTTAAAGCTTTTTTCTGTAAAATACTCTTTAATATTTTTTCTTTAACTTTTCTATTCAAAAAACTTTACTTCTTTTTATTGTATATTTTTTAGTATTGGCTCTGGTATTTCACTTTTTATCGCTACCAATATTTGCGAGACGGTCATTTGGCAGTCCTTTTCTCCTCGTAAAATTATATTTTATTATTATTAATTATTTAATTCTTTTTATATATATAAATTAAATTTTATCAAAGAGTTTAATATAAAAATTTATAAAGATGATAATAAAGAAGTTTTCTTAAACTATAAATAGTTATAATTATAATAATTACTTGTTCATTTTTATATAATCTCTGTTAATATATTGTCGTTATTATAATATTCAATACTTTATATATATAAATGCTTCTAAAAAGTTTTTGGAGTAGTTTTTTTAAAATCTATAAATGTTATAATTAAGAAATTGTTTACTTATAAAGTTATAATAATAATTTATTATTTTTTAATAAATGAATTATTATATTAATACTTTTAAACCGTTATTTAACTTTTTTTTTATAAAAAATATAAAAGTTTTCATTAGTAGTTTAATTATTTTTTTATAAAAATACTGAAAATAAAGAAGTTTGTTTACTTAAAAGAAGTTGTGGTAATAATAATAACTTATTTTTTTATATTCTTCATAAATTATTATTAATATAATATTTAGTATTTTTATTACATAAATACTTTATAAAAACTTGATCAACTTTTTTTAGGAACAATAAAGTTTTTATTAGTAGTTTAATAACTTTTCATAGTTATGAAACTTTTTATTAGAAAAAGTTTTTATTATATAATTGATATAATAAGACTACCAAACTTTTTTTCTGTTATTTTATTTTTTTTTCCTTATTATAAAAGTTTTTCTCTCATTTTGTATTAGTTAATATATTAATTTTTATAAAAGATGTTTTACTTTATGTATTTTTATTTTCAAAACATTTAAAAGAAAAATTATAGAAACTTTTATTATTGTTACTTTTTTTATATATATTTATTAACGTTATTATTATAAAAGTTTATTTTATTATAATTACTATTTTTAAAATTGCATATTTATTAAACTTTTATATTTTATTAAATATATTTATTATTACTATTATTATTGTTATCACTTATTAAATATTTGAAACCCTTTTATTATAAAAGTTTTCATATTTACAAAAGTGAAACTTTTTTTTTACCCTTTATGTAGATTTATTATAATAAATATTTTTGGTAAAAGTTTAAAAAACTATATTAATATAAAAATGTTTTATAATATAAATAATATTTTTAATGAAAATATATTTATCTTCATCTATTATTATCATGAATATATCTTTAACTTTTCTATACATTTTTTCCGTAGCAATAATATATATTATATATAAAAAATAAATTAAAATAACTAAGAATTTTTTATATTATATTATTTTTATTATTAATAAAAAAGTTTTTTTGCACTACAAAATTTTATATTGTATAAGAAGTTAATCCAACTATATCTACAAAATTTTATATTGTATAAGAAGTTAATCCAACTATATAAAATATTTTACTTTTGATATTTTTTTTAATATGATTAATATATAATTTCTTAACGTTCATAAAAACAGTTTTTTTTTTGCACAGGAATAATATTAAATAATACATTTTATAAAAGCATTTTCTATATATATTATATTTTTTTAACTTTTACAAAAAATTTTTTCATAGTAGTGGTATATCTATTGGAAATAAAAAAATTATACATTTTCTTAAAATCTTTTTTTTAATAAATAATTATCAAAAATTGAATATGAATACATTTTTTGAAAATAAATTTTATACATATTTTATAATTTAACTTTTACCAAAAAAATTTTTTTAGATAAAAATTAAATATTAACTTGAAAATAAAAAAATAATACATTTTTTTAAAATAATTTTCTAACTTTTATTAAGAATTTTTTTTTAAAAGCAAAAACTTTTACTTTTACTATAAAAAAGTTTTAGTGCACTGCATAAATATATAATTAATTTTAAAATAACTAAATAATTTCTGTATATTATTCGTGTTTAAAATATTATAATTGTTGTAAAAAAAAACTTTTTTTCTCACTTTTTACTATTAAACTTTTATTTATAATATAGTATTACTAGCAATTATATTTACCATTATATTTTTCATTTTTCTATATTTTATTATAAAGTTTTTTATTTATTTTGCAATTTTTACAAAAGTTTTCTTCTCACTCTTTACTATTAAATTTTTTTCTATAAATAATTATAAGTAACATTTGTATTTACTTTTTTTAAAATTTTTATTATTTTTTTTTAGCATTTTCATATACAAAATAAAACTTTTATTGAATATATTTTCTTCCCACTTTCACTATCAAATAGTTTTCACATATATAAACTTTTTCTAATCTTTACTATTACTAAAAAGTTTTAATTTTTTATTATTATTAAACTTTTTTGTATAGAAACTTTTATGATTGTAAATATTTTTATAAACTTTTATTATATATTTTAATCTTTTTTATGTATTATATAAGTTTCATACTTTTATTTTTACTTTTTTTTTAATAGTATTTATATTATTTTAATATGCTTTCAATATATTATTATCATTTCTTTATATATTTATTTACTTTTATATCCTTATAAGCTTTATATTAAAATCTCTTTACTTTTTTATAAACTTTTATACTTTTTATTTTTCTTGCTTTATACAAGTTTATTATTAATTTATAATTTTTTATGTATTCTTATATATATATTTTTCTTTATTACATAAATATATATATTACTTTTTATAGTTTTTTATAAGCATTTTCTAATTTCATTTTTATTTTTATTTTTTTTATTTTTTTTATTATTATTAAGAAATTTTTTGAAAAATATATTTTTTTTTTTTACTTTTTTTTTCACAACTTTTTTATAATTTTTACTAAAAATATAAGCATTTATAATACTTTATTATTTACATTTTTTGTATTTCATTTTTTATATAAACTTTATTTTTTTGTTAGTGCTAAAAGAATTCTTTTTTTAACATATAAATATTTTATATATTTTTCATTATTTCCTTATATTTTGATATAAATATAATATATAGTATTATTAATATATATTTATATATTTTTATTTTTTATATATATATACTTTATTATTTTATAATAATATATATTAATATTTCTTTATATTATATACATTAATAAATTTTTTTTAAAAAGGTCTTTATTGCTATTATAGTTATATAACTTTATTGGTACATCTTTATATGTAGTTATACTCTATTATTTTTATAATTATATATATTTGTATTCATTACTTTAATATTTACATATCTATTATTTTATGTTTCGTTATAGTTAAATATTTTGTATTTGTTTTATTTATGTATTAATAGATATTTATTTTATAATATATAAACTTCATTATTTTTGTGTTTTTTATATATATTTATAGAAAAATTTATTATTTATATATACATTTTTTTTATACTTTTATACATAAACTTTATATATAAAAACTTAATTATTATTATAGACTATAATTATCTCTATTATTATTATTTATTATATACCAAACCTTTTATATATGCTTTTTGCAATTATTTACTTATTTTATTTTCATTTCTTTCTTTTATATATATAAGAATATATTATTTTTTATATTTATACTTAACTATACTTTCTTTTTCATCATTTTTTAGGAACTGTCAATGTTGGGCGCGGGCCCGAGTTTGAAGGCGCCATTCTTGCATTGTTTCATTCGCTGATGACTCGAAGAGATCGACTTCGTGCTTTGAAATATATTTTTTACAGAACTCAACTCCCCAACTTTATGAGCCTTATTTCCACCGTCGCTATTTTTTTTGTAGTTGTCTATTTGCAAGTAAGTTTTTTTTATGCTGTTTTTATAATAATTATAATATTAATAATAATAATAATAATGATAATAGTAATTGTAATGATAATAATAACGTCTGTATAAATTTTTAATAATATTATTAATGATAGTAATAATAGTAATTATAATAACATTCAGCTCAGAATCGGTAAAAAAGTTTACTATATATTTCTACTTTTTTTATATTTTTTTTGGTTTATATTCTAAAAAATAAATTTTATTTTATTTATTTTTAAATTTAATAATAGCATTTTTATTTCTACTATTAAGTATACAATATTTATTAAATTTTTTGTATATATTATATTTATAATAAAAATATATATTGTACTAGCGTTCCACTAATAATAGGGCTTCCGCATCGACGTGCCAATCAAAAGCCTCCGAAATCCGGGCTACCAATTAGCACCGTTTTCAATCAAGTTGTTCTACACGTCGAACATACCAATCATGTTGCAAACTGCGCTGCTCTCGCAGTGCCTCATGCTTTCGCAGTTGCTTTACTATAAGTTCCCTTCAAACATGTTTGTTCGCCTTTTTGGTTCTTGGTCTTCTGGTATTATTATATTCTTATTATTAAAAATAAAAGTATATAAGGATTATTTATAAAAAAAACTAAAGAATTGATAAAAGTATGAAAAAAATATTAATTAGCTATAACGCTTCTATAAAGTCAAGAAAAAAAATTAGAAAAATGATAATAAGAAAATGAATCACCGAAATATATACTTAAAAAATAAAGTAAATATGCAGATTAACATAAGACTGCTACGGAAGTCAAAAAAAAAAATTAGGATATTAAAAAAATTAATTATACATAAAATTTATGGGAGATAAAAATACTTTTACAGTATTAACAACATAGAAGATTATTTATCGTAAAAGTAGACATATGAATTTTATTATTATATTATTATAATTATTATTATTACCATCATAATATGCTATTAAAATAATGTATTTACTATTATCCTGGACACACTCTATACGTGTAATACTATAAAAGTTTATGTGTGCTGTACTTTTTTTAACAAAGATTACGTGAAAAAAAAAATTGTGTATAATATAGAGGAAATCTAACTTTTATTATTATTTTAAAATTTGAAGTACAAAAATAGGTTGAAGCAATTACAAGGTCTCATTGAGCTGACTTTACTGTTAAGAGTTTTTTATAGTAATTTGATTGGTGTATTTTATTTATACATTTTACTATTGGTGCAAAACGGGACATAAATGGATCGTCACTGGGTTAAAATAGTTAACTGCGCATTCTTTTTTAGAAGCTTCGACGTGCACTATTGACGGAGAGCATTTCATAGCTTATAATTTGTCCAACAAGCCCTTCGTATTGTGTGTTATGAAAAATGAAACGGCTTACCATAGAAAGGTTAGTGTGGAATGGACACGTGGACAATGGAGACACAAGCGTGCAGCTCTCACAAAAAATGTTTTGGCACAGTAAAGCGGCGCAACTGCAACAAAATATAGACATTATAATTAAAAATATTACTAATAAAATTTCCGATTAAAAAGGAAGCACTTATAATAAAAAATTTTTATTAATTTTAAAAAAAGCAGAAGAGTAAGGAAAACTCACTATTTTTCCACTAAACAGGACAACAACACGGTTCGCCGACTGGAGGATTTGTGTATTATTTGAGCCATCCTGATTCGTTCTCTTCGTTTGTGAGCGACCCCTTCCACATGCTCGTCTACGTTTCCTTCACTCTGGGCACGTGTGCTCTTTTCTCTCGCCTTTGGATTGACGTGAGTGGCTCCGGCCCAAAGGAAGTTTTTAAGCAACTCCGCGACCAGGGAATCGCCTATGCCGGCCGCCGCGACGTTATTATTATTATTATTATTATCACTATTATTATTACTTTATTATTATTATTATTAATGCCTTTTCCTTTTAGTTGCTGTAAACCTTTATTTTTAGTTATATTAAAAAAAATTATACGCCTTCGTTATTTTGTTGAAGTTATAATATCATATTTTAACCTAAATAAATTTTTTTAAAATTAGTATCGTTATATATACTATTTATTTTATAATTTTTATAGTAAAAATAACAGATCTTTTATATTTTTTTCAAGTTACCTACTTTTTATTAGTATATTTTTATATCATGTAAAACTTTTTATGTAGTAATATCATTATTATTATTAGTTTAAAAAATTTCTAATAAAATAAAAAAATGTCATTATTACTAATTTTTTTTAAAATTATTTTTAGAAATCCTTAAAATCCGTCTTAGAGCGCTACATTCCGACAGCCGCTGCACTGGGCGGTTTGTTTATTGGTCTGTTGTCCATTGCGGCGGATCTTATGAACGCTATTGGCTCAGGTTTTTCTTTTGTTTTTAATTTTATTTTTTTTGCCTAAAAATATTTTTTAAAATTTTGTAATAAAAAAAGTTTTAAATAATACTTATTATTATTTTTTTTACTTTTAATTATTTTCTTGATTTATTATATATATATTTTATGTATTATTTTGCGGTATATAAAAGGTTTTTTTGTATTTACACTACTTGCTGACTTGTGCACGCGGTTTTTTTACTTTTACAAGAATTAGTAACGAACGAAATTATTTAAAATTTTAATACTTATTTTTTCTTCTTATTCAATAAAGAAAACAATTTTTTTTCTGTCGTAATTTAGTAAAATTTTACTAATTAAGCGCAGAAAAATTGAAGATATTGATAAACAATATTTATGCATATATAAATTCAAGATAAAAGTAAATTGTTTTTCTAATGTAATATATAAAGAAAACAATTATACGAAGTAATTGGGAAAAAAAATTATAAAGTGGGGGACTCCCTTAATTTAAAATTTTTTTCTTGTTAATTATGTTGCACAAAATAGCGAAGCTTAGGTTTTTGGAAGGAAAGTTGTCTATTTACAAAAGTATATAAAGAACCAATTTTTCAAACGTATCTTATAATATAAGATATTTAAAGTAGCGCATTTTCTTTCTTTCTTTTATTGTTTATATAGTCTTAAGAATTTAAAGAGATAACTAATTTTTTTTGTAGGCACTGGAATTCTTTTGGCTGTCACAATTATTTATCAATATTACGAAGCTGTAGTTCAAGAAAAAGATGTGGATTTTTCTTAATTAAAAGAAATAAAGTTGTTTCCATTTTTATTTTTATTTTTATTTTTTATAGCTATTTTTTCAGGATAACGCTCATAAAGTAAAAAAATTTAGACAGGAATTAAACTATTCTTTATATTTCCTTTTACTTTATTTGAATTTTTTTATCTTTATTAAGGATAACTAGTAAAAACCAAGTGAAAATGTATTTAAACGTTCGAATTTCATATTAAAAACCCGTAGAGCGCTTTAGATTTGCACGTTCGAATTGAGGCAGTTGGTAACAGAAAACCGCTTACTGCTGGAAATTTTTAAAATTTATTTATTTTAGTGCTGCAGCTTAATTAAAATTTATTTAAATACATTTAGAATTTATTTAAATAAGTTTTTTTAATTTACACTCGGTTATTTTATATGTATAGCTCTGAAAATCTTACAGTATTACTCACGTTTAGTTCTTTTACACTGAAAAAAAAAAAAAGAGGAGAATTCTTTAAGTAATCTAATTCTTATTTTATAAGTTTAGAAGCATCAAAAAAGGATCTTATACGGCAAGTCCTACAAAGTAATAAAGAAACAACTCTTGTTCCTGGAATTAGTAATTCTTATTACAGAATTTCCGAGAGAATTGAACTGCGCAGCACATTAGTTAATAGAATAAAAACTTTTTGTGTAATAAGAATTTTTTTTACTTTTCCAGAAGGTAAAAGATCAAATCTTGTTTTATCTACGCAATTTGTTATTATATATAATTTCAATATTTACTTAGGCAAACTTTTCTTTGTGACATTCATACATATCACGAAGATATATTTAATATGTAAGCCTCTTGAGCAACCATACTGTTAAAAGTTTTTACTTAACCGAATTATCCGTACTTTTTATAATAAAGTGAGTAATTGGCAAACTTTTCTATAAATACTAAAATAAATTATTATCAAGTTGCAATACAAACTATGAGAACCTCTAGAACTTTCTTATTAAAAAGTATAAACAAACGAATCCTTTATAAGTTAGCAATTATTTTATATATAATTACTACTTAAAACGGCGATTATCCACGCTATAACATTAGGTGCATGAACTTTCTTTTTTAGCACTGGCATACTACGACCGGTCTTCCTGAAACATTTGGGCCGCTTAGTCTGAATACCCCCTCTCAGCAGGGGTTGGAGCACTAGTGCACACTAGGGCAAGCTCATTGATTATCCCGAAGGGCTGAATAAGCGGGAAATAACGGACCCAGAGTCTCGCCATTTTGGAAATCCGCTAAAAACCGCTAAGGAAAGGGGCAGCCTTAGACACAAGAACTTGAGGCCACCTGGAGACACTGACCGGCTGCCACTGCCAGCCAGGTCCCCCGATTATGAGCTCCTCACCTAGAAGGGGGAAGCCCCAACATGTACATGATTTTCTTACAGCTTACTGCTATTTAGTTGCCCTCGCACTCTGTTATAATTGTTTTTTTGTAAGAGATGTCTGTCTGCTCTAATTTTTATTAAAAAAAAATAATAGTTACAAACAATAATTGCGCTCTAGAAAGCACCCATAGTTTTTTTAACTGTTCTTTGGGCAACTTCTTAACTCATCTTCTACCTCCTCTAAACGTTTAATTTATATTAAACTTAAAAAAAAAAATTATCTAATTCTTTACAATTTTTTTCATGATGCTATCGGTTAACCAAAGTAAAAAATATAGATTAATTATAAAAGAAGCTTATTAAAGCAGAGAGGCGAAAGGAATTTAGTACTAAAAGTATTCTGTACTTATATTTGAACTTTTAACCTACAAAACTAAATTTAACTGGGACTAGTTACGGCCTTATAAGCCAACTATTGCAAATCTGTAGAGGTAGAGTTCAATACTGACCTTGTTTATTGTTATAAAAAAAAATTTTTTTACTAAATGTTTTTAGTTTCAGGTATACACAGTATTACTAAAATATATACAAACTAAACTAATTTAGAAAATTATTTTATTATAAAAAATTAGAGTAAAAATATTAATTACCAATGTAAGAGTTACGGTAATAACAATGTTTCCACTAATTTATTTAAAAGATGTTGATCTAGAGAATTATAAGTGTAAGTATCTTAATATAAGTATGATCAATTTCTAGTTGTATGAAAAGGTTCTACAATTTTTTTTTATATAGTTGATAAGGTCACGCTATCTTCTGCAGCAAACTTATAACCTTTAGAGGCCGCTAGTTTACGAGCTTCTCCTTCTTCTTCTTCTTCTTCTATTAATAAAAGACGTTGATTTAATTCTTTTTTGGCTTTGGCCGAAAAATTTTTATATACTGAGTTGAATACTTTAATTCGTAAAGTATTTTTACAATAAGCCTTCTGTAGTTTTTGCTGTTCGTTTTTTATAAAGTTAATTTCTTTTAGTAATTCTTTATTATTGTACTTCAACCACTTTGTAGCTAGAAACCTTTTCTTTGCTAGTAAAAATATATTTTCTAATTTTACCTCCCACTCTTTCAAGTCCTCCTCTGTAATCTCAGAGCAAGAGCCTTCTTCAGGTTGAGGATTGCTCGCAACGTTATCCTTTTCACTTAAATTTGTTTTCGTATTGGTAGTATTATTGCTGTCTTCGTTATTTTTTAATCTTCTTATGAAACTTTGATTAGGAATTTCACCAAAAGTTTCTCTCGAGTTATTACGAACTTCACTTAAAAATTCTTGTTTATCTAAATCATTATTATCTACCATATTTTTTATTGACGAAACATTTAATTCTTCAAGTATAATTACTTGTAAACAATGTTTAATAATTTTTTCCCTGTTGAAAAGGTCTTCATTATTTAGAAAAGAGTTTGATTTACAGTCTTGCAGTTTCATCAACTGTCATCTAAAGTTATTATATAGTATTAATTTGTATATAATATATTATCGTTATATCTTTAGTCACTATAAGAAAGCTTCTTATAAATTCAAAGTGTATATTCCGTTGTATTTACGTTGATCTTGTTTTATTTTTACTTTATGCTAAGCTAATGTTATTAGCGATATTTACGATCTGAAGCCGTTGAGCAAACCACCACTTAAAATGGTAATGGCATACAGAACGAATATTTTAGTTAGAACGCTATAAATATTTTTCGAAGTTTGTGATGCAAAGCTGATATATATATATATATTAAGTACTTTACCCTGCTTTATAATTAATTTGTAAAATAGTCGTGGCTGGGTTATTTATAAAAAAGCAAGGGCCAAGTTATTCATTTTTTGTTTTAAATAATTTATTTAATCTACAAATTACTCTAAATCTAATGACGTAGAGATTTTTCTCAAGCTTGTGATAGGCTTTTGCTTTTGTGTTGTGTTTTAAGTTATTTTTGTATCTCTTATTAGTGATGCAGTTTTGGCAAAAAAATTTACTTATCAGGACAAAATTTTATTATAAAATCTTTACATTTAAATGCTTGTAATCAGTTAATAGTCTTTTCTTTCTGCTTTATGATGATTTCTAAGTTTATAAGCTTAATAAGTAAACCAGGTAGGCGTTTAGGAAAGATAGATAGTAATTTTAAAAAATGTAACTCTTATCGTTATTACAACCCTTATTTTTACTTTAGTTTACCTTAAGCAACTGTAAATGTTAATAGTCGAACCACATTTTACCATAAATATTACTCTCGCTGTCTCCATGCTGTCAGTGCCTTCACCCTTTACAAATACACACCGTAAATTACTAACACATAAAAAATGGAAATAACTTTAGTGCCTTATAATATAAACATATTAAGTTAAATAAGTATTATTTAAATAGAGATCAAGGTTAAACAAACATAGTAATCAATCCATTGTTCAGCACTAATACTTACAAACCTGACCATAAAATGAGATAGAAAAGCAAATGGGACTACGTAAACATATTTAGGAAAGTTTTATAAAAGGGGATGGATGAAAGGGGCAATCTATTACCAAATTGCTTTCCGAAATGGTTTATAAAATTATTGTAAATAGCATTTTGTAGCTGTGGGAAAATACCTCTATGAATCCCCTCTGTATCGGTAAACTTTCAATTCCTTAAAGCACGACACTTAAACTAAAATATACGTAAATATAGTAATTTTTGCTGCGGCGCGTGACATTTGCTTATAAAAATCCGCTTTGTAAAAGCTAACCAAACGATTTTGAAAAAGTAAAATTAGCGTACTCACATTAAAAGAAACTGTAATGCACTGAAAAGGTACATTACTTCTATAAAGATGACAAGGCATTGAATAAATCCTAAATAGGAAGTAAATTTCACATTATTTAAACTATAAAATTAAAATTTTTATTAAGTAAAAACACTTATTTATTTCCGATATAACAAAGAGAAACAATACAAAACCACGAACTGGAAACAGAAGAATACTTAGTCATAATGAGAATAATGTAAGGAGCTGGAATATACACTTGCAAGGGCCACATAGGAAAGGTTGTGAGAAAGTTGTTTAAGAGTTTATTATTACAAGATGTGGTCTCGGTATGTTTCATGCAGTCTTTGAAAACTGGGTAGCACTTTGCTTATATTCTTTTTTAAAGTTGGTGTTAAAATAAAGCTATTTAAGTTAGTTGACTGATATTAACGTCAAAATTAATTCCGAGAAATGTTACCTAATTAGGCAAGAACAAGTAACAAAAGGACCACCACCCTTTTTTAGAAGACTTGAGTTAACAACTCTACCTGTAGCTCGCAGTGTTAAGGCGCACATACTAAGGTGCTTTAGGTTATAGGCTCGGCATTATGCCTTATCACACTTACGCTACTGTTTAACTGGCCGAACGCACAACACATACAGCCTTTATTGCGCAACATAGCTTACTGTTGAACCTATGAAGGATTACCCTGAGTCACCGCCTCGATCTTTGCTACCACGTAATTTAGGTGCAGAGGCGGTCTTGTGGTTTTTATGAGGCCCTATCGTTAGTTATCAGGAAGGATGGTTAATTTCACATATTATTAATACCGTTTCCACTTTAAGAAGAAAAACTAGATATTGGCCTTTTATAACCTTTTAAAATTGATCTTTACTTTATTAAAGTATGAATAAAGTCAAAAAAACCGAAGAAGAATGGAAGAATATACTTGGTGTCGAAGAGTATAGGGTTTTTCGGGAAAAAGGTTAGCTAATTATATAGCTAAAACTTTACATATAAAAGGTTTTTTTAAGGAACTGAAGCGCCTGGCACAGGTAAGTATAACAAGCACTTCCCCGTCTCTGGTTACTACGCTTGTAAGGCTTGCGGTAATCCGCTTTACTCGGCATCCTCAAAGATTAAAGCTGGGTGTGGATGGCCAGCGTTCGATAAATGTTATGAAGGGAGCTTTATTGTTCTAATCAAAATTCATTTTGATAGTGTGTAATCTTAGGAAATAAATTTATTATTACACTTAGGTTCCGTGAAAACGCAGCTTGACCGTAGTCACGGAATGGTAAGAGAAGAAATCAGGTGTGCTGGGTGTGATGGACACTTAGGTCATCTTTTTTTTAATGGTACGTTTTGAGTTATTAAATAAAGAGTCTCAGAATTTTTTTCATTGTTTTCACTTTAATTTTATTTGTTATTGAAGAAAATTTCACTGCTAGCAACGAAAGACACTGTGTAAACAGTATTTGCCTTAGATATGCTCCCGATGAACACGAAGCTCCCGATTCAAAATGTTCAGAAGTATAATATTGCTAATAAAAATGTTCTTTGCCTTTTGCATAAATTTAATATTACTCAATTCTAAGTATATAGCATTGTAAAACAATTTTTTATTTTGCATTTTACTTATAAGAAAGTTTTAGAAGTTAGTAAAACTTCTATATGGGTGAACTACTTACTATCTTTATCATATGCCCTTTTTCGTTTTAAAAAGCACACTCCTTTATTTTTTTGGGGTTGTAAATGCGTAAAAGTACTTCTATTAAAAAACAAGTGGCCACTTCACCAATAAATTAAACTTTATAAACTAAAAGAACGTTAAGAGGGTCATCCTCGCAAGTACAAAATTACAAAGATGAAATGTTGGCTTTATACAAAACCTATACTTTTCTTTGACAAAAATAGTTAATAACTATTTAATAAAGATGTACTTTTTCCTATAAAAAGGTTACAAATTGCACTTCGCCGTTTTTTAAGCTTCAAATTACTTGGTTTATAAATGTAAATTGTACTTATAAATTATTTTTCGGAAGTTAATGGGGTGAAGTTTGCAACATAAATTTATTAAAATATAAAACAAAAAGTTTTTATTGTATGATTATAAATGCGTTAGCAAAAAAACTTTGGAACAACTAAATAAATAGTATAAAGCATTTGAGGGACAAAAAAAGCAACTGCGAACATTATACTTTGGAAATTATATTTTAACTTATATTTCTAATAAATTTGTTAAAAATATTATAAAATTAATATCTAAAAAAAAACTGAACTATATTTTATATTAAAGTTTTTACTTAGGGCTTAAAACTAATTTAAAAATTTACCGTGTATTTGCGTTAGCATTTATTACAACTTAAATAAAAATATTTTTAAATATTTAAAAAGCGTCGTTGTAGGTAAATTTAGGGATGCACAGTTACTATCTAAAATAGAAATCTTCGGACTTCTTAAATCCAACTCCTTCTGCTTTTAAACACTACTTTATAACCATAAAAGTGGATTCAAATAAATATTTTATATTAATATTGATCAAAATTTGTACTATAAAAAGATATGAAAACAGAACATTTTTATCCTTAAGATTTGTCTTTTCGTATAATCGACAAATGGAAGTTTTTAAAAATAATTGTTTTTCCTCTTGTACGATTGTATAACTAAATAAATTACTTACACAAAGACTGCTTAAGTAGTTTTTAATAGCATTTTTTTAAATTTTGTTCGCCACTTTAAGGCAAGATTTGCATAACTAATTTTTTTTTCTAAACTTCGCAATTTTAAAGCAGATGTATAATAGTTCAACCGCTTAAGAAAACCTAACGGATGTCTAAAAAATTCCCCTGCTAAAAACGATTACTAAATTTTAACAAGAGGTAAATTTTTTACTATTATAACATTTGTTAACATCTTTTTTGGCTATAAATTGGTGGCGAAGAGTTAAATAAATAGATGCTACATCAGTGAAGAACAATACAGTATCTCTGAAAATGGAGTAAAAACAAAGGTGATTAGGAAAAAGTAAGGATAATAAACAGTAAGAATAACTTATGACAAAAAAAAAAGAAAAGGGAGGAAGTGCCCACAAACAAAACTTTAAGGAAGACTCGGTAAAGAAAAGAGTTAACGTAAAGTTCTTAACTCAATAAAGTTTTTAACTTCGGTATAAAATTACGAAATACTTAATATATCAATAAAATATAAGAAGTGGTAACTTTTATAAAGCTTTATGAGCAACTAACTCTTTTCTATAAGGTAGATAAAATGTTATAAAACCAATGCGCAGTTGAGTAAATAATACTAAAAAACGTTGAGCTATGAGAGAAGGTAAAAAATGAAATATAACTTATTTAAAAATTACCTAGATGAGAAAACGCTTCTTACATGAATTAAATTCATGTATTCCGTAACTATAATCAAATGAGATAATATAATAGGGTTGTGCAAAGAGACACGCGAAGAACAAATAATCGTTAGCGACATATTTTAAAATTAACGAAAAGCGTAACCCGTAAAAAGGAATTAAAAAGTGACTGCACTAAAAATTTTACCAAAGTAAAATAAAAAAAATAAAGTTTTTAATTTTCAGTTGCACGTGAATTAATACAGACTTGCCAGTCTATTTTTTGAAGCTCAAAGAAAAGAATATCTCTTAAGTATGTTATATAGTATTAAAGCTTTTAAAATTTGAAAATATTTATTTGAAAAACTTTTAAAGTTTCTCTGAATTTAGTAAATTGGTAGTAATTTTTGATAAGATTTTTGGATCTTATTAAAAATTTAATTTATGCTTAGTACGTAAACTTTTTATTACAAAAAGATTTAATTAAACAACATTTATTTGTTTACTTTTATGCTTTTTAAGTTTTTCTAGTTGTCTTGTTTATGTTAGTTTTCTTAAAATTACTTGGGCTGTTGTTTAGGAATGATTGATTTTAAAATATAAATTTATTTTTATTAATGTCAATTCATTATTCCTAGACTTTCCTTTTAAGGATTTTATACTTCTTTCACCTACGAAATTTGCGACGAATAGTTATTATAAATAGATATTTACGTAATGTCTTTTGTAGGGATCAAATTTTGTCAAGAATGGTAAATTTCTCATATAATTTAAATTTTTTAATCTTAAATTGTATAATAGTAACAACATGTTGTATCCTCAAGAAGATCCTGAACAGAAAATTCTTTTATATGCCTGCCGTCAAGAAAATTGCAACTACTCTGAAGTTGCTGATTCCGCTTGTGTGTATCACAATAACGTTAATCTAAAGCCTGGGTTTAAATAAGTTTTTTTTTTATAATAAATTTTGTAAATACTTTTTCTTATTAATAATATTTAACCTGTTAAATTGCCTTTTAAAATATACTTATAAAGTAGATTTAATTTTTGTTTAACATAATTTTATTGCTATTAATAACTTTATTTATAAAAATGAAGCTTCTTTATTTTATTTTTAAAGTCTTATTAAGTATTTGGTTTATTATCTTACTTTTAACCGGTTATTAAGCTTTAGCACTTAATTACAATAAAAAAGTTTAAAAAAAATTTCTAGTAGGCTAACTATTTTTTTTTCTTTTTTCCCTGAAGTATATAATTAAATTTAAGCTGATCGTTCGTTTTACAAAAAATTTACTTTTTTCTGTATAAAATATTATTAATATTAAGTTATTATATAATATAGTTATACAGATTTTTTAATTTTTTCAGCTCGAATTGTGAAACGTTTTTGCTCATCTTAGTTTAGTTTTCTAATTTCTTAACATTTAATTTTGTAAATAATTAAAGTTTTTTGTTGCTTTAAAAATTTTTACTGGATTCGAGTTTGGTGTAAATTAAAAAGTTTCCAATTCTAAATGAATTTTTTAATAAAATTATTTTGAATAATTCCCGACAATAAAATCTATATAGAGAACTCTCAGAAAATGGCAGCTTATATTATTTTGTTACCAAACTAATAAAAAAAAAGTTTTGGATGTCCTTTTCCTTCTAGACTTCGAAGTTTGTTAACTTTCCAAATTTTCAAAATTAAAAATCACAAATTTTTTGTTATTTTCAAATTTTAAAAGAAATTAAGATTAATATGAAACCTTTTCCCCTAAAGCTTTTTTTAATAAAAAGTAAGAAAATTTAAGAAAAGGATTGTTAGAGCGTAAGTTTGATTTTGTCCAAATTTAATATAAAATGGTTAAATCTAATTTAAATTAAGTAGCCCAAATTTATTAAAGCTCTCTTACTAAAAGGTGTAGGAAATTTAAAAAAAAAGTACTAGAATTCGGAACTAACTTAGGAAAAATTTATTTTAAAATGGTTAAATCTATTTAAAAATAAGTAGTTTAATTTTTTTCCTTAGAGTTCTTCTACTAAAAAGTGAAGGTCATAAAGAAAATGCAATAGAATTTAAAAAAATTTAAGTTTACCATATAATAATTTTATCTCATTAAATTAAGTAGCTTAAACTATATCTTTAAAGCTCTACGAAAAAGTAAAGGCTATTATTAAAATAGTTCTAAAATTAATTTCAAAATTTATGTAAAGGTTATATCTCTAAATTAATTAGCTTATATCTAACTTATTCTCTTTTACTAAAAGTAAGGTTTGATAGAGTTTGGGTATTAATTCGTTCAAATTGGAGCTTATACAGATAATGTATAGCCCAAAATCTTAAGCAAGAAAAGGAGTGTTTGATTTAAATTTATAAAAAAAACTTTTAAAGTATAAAGCTTAAGCATTTTTCTTTATCGCGCTTTAAAACGTTGTTCACATTCTTCTGGGGTTCTAAAATTCTTGATTTTATTATAAATATAAAAAAACTAATGAACCAAGTTTTTTTATTTTTAATTCCATTATATATTAAAGAATGAAGCTGAGATTATCTTTACTTCAAATTATTTGGGTATCCACTTAAATTTAATTTAAACTCATCTTTGACATATTTACTAATTACGAGTTTTGTTAGTATAAATAATAATAAACCAATGTTCTTTAAGTTCTATATAAAAGAATGAAATTGAGATCAAATTTACTATAAATTACTTAAGGCTCTTTAAATATAGCCTAAACTTTTATTTTCACATTTTTTTTACTAATTACGAACTTATTATATGTATAAGAATCCTAATAAACCAATTTTTTATTTTTTTTTTTAAAAAATTTATTTCTATATAAAAAAATGAACATTACTATAATTGGTTAAGGCTTCTTAAATTTAGCCTATAATTTTTTAACTTTTTTACTCATAACAATTATTAACTTATTTAAAATTTCGACTTTTTCATCTCTTTTTAATCAATATAATTAATATGAATATTTTCTTTCAATGTAATTTAATACTAACTTGTTTAAATTAATAATATTTACTAATTAATATAAAATTACCAACACTTTATTAACTTTTTAAGATGCTCAGAAACTTAAAATTCATAATAATTTCTAATTTCTATTATTTTTCTTTTTTGAGTAGAGTAGCAGCTCACGTCGTTTCTGATATTATACACGATCCCACGCTACCGCGTGATCGCGAGAAAGTTTGTGCTAATTGCGGAAGACAAGAATCTGTTTATTTTCAAGGTAATTTTTTTTTATAATAATAAATTTTGAATTTCAATTACTTGAAAAAATTTTTAAATATTAAATTTAATTAATGACTCGAAAATTTTATTTTTATTTTATTTTATTCATTTATTTTGAATGAGTTTTTTAACAACTTTAGTCGAATTTTATTGTAATTAAATTAATTACTTCTATATTATCGTTCCCCTTTTTAATTGTTAAAAAGCAGGTAAAGAAGTAAACAAACTTCTTCTATACATATTTCAATTAATAATCTATAACTAATTTTGCGTAGAAAGTAAAACAATATTATAAATTCCTTAAATTCTATACTAGACTCTAAAAAAATTAAAAAACTTCAAGAAAATAATTAATACTTTTACTTTACCCTTCTATTTATTTTTAAAATATTAAACTTCTAACTTAAGTAAAATTAAATTCCAAATTATATACAATCTTTATAGAAATTTATTTTCATAAATTTAAATTTAATAAAAATTATAAAAAAATTATTTTCAATTTTATAATCTTTGTTTTACATTTAGTAACCTTTTTCAAGTTGAAAAAACAAATTTATAGTTTTTTAAAAATATTTTCTTTTTTTTTTAATTTATGTATTTTTAAGCTCAATCTCGAAGGGAGGAAAGCGGAATGCGTCTATATTATGTTTGCGTTCATTGCAAGCATCGCTGGACGAACATCGAAGAAATTGATGGCGACGTTGATGATGTCGAATTGCTTGAAGATTTGCTTTAAGAAAAAAAGTTTTTGTTTAAAGCTTAAAACAATTTTTTATTTACTTTCAATAAATCTTTAACTTTTCTAAGTGAAGAGCTCATTATTAATTAATTGTTTTCTTATTAACCCGAAAGAATCTTGTTAAGAATTTAAATTTGGTTTATACTTTTTAGAGGCTTTCACAGATTTTTTTAATTTTTTTTATGGCAGCCTCCTATAGCCTCGCAACTAACGACTTTTAAAATAAAATAAGTATCAAAATAAAAAATAATAAAACTTATAATAAAAAATGTAATGATTATCTTTAATGGTATAAAATATAAATATAAAACCTCTATAAAATCTGTGAGCGGGTTCCGACTTTAAATTTGTTTTAATTTAAAAAATTATATCTTAAACTAAAACTAAATTTTCATAGTAAGAAATTTACCTTTAAATTGCGTTAATTATGGTTGTTTCTAAATAATGATGAATAAAAAAAAAGAAATCCGGCATTATAAAATAAAAAATTAAGTAAAATAAAAAATATATTAGAAAACTATAATTGAATGCTCACACAAATCCTTTACTCTAAAACTGTATACCGCCAGTCTTTCCTCTATTTTTTCTGAACCATTCTAAAGAAAATCTTTTATATTCTTAAGTCAGCGTTATTACTCAATCTTTCTTGACTTCTTAAATAACTTTATAACCAAATCTTCTATTAATTCTTTATAACATAAAGAATATTTGAAAAGTAGACTATCATGACCTCCTTAATGTCTTAAATTATGAATTTATAGTATGTTTTATCGCTGAACGCACTATGTCTTAACAACAGGAAATTTTTTAAAGTCAAATACATACAATTTAAGCAGAGAAATACTCTACTCTTAAAAAATCAAATGATACAAATCGTAAAAACAAATAACGGTTGAGCATGTAAAAATTTAAATAAAATGTTGTGGTCTGTTGTAAACAAAGAGCTATAAAAATTATAATAAATGTTGTAACAAGTATTTATAACTTGTAAATAAATGTTATACTTTAACGTGAAAATTATATGTAGGTTTAACGTATACTTTGGGAGCGAGGAGCGCGTGTAAGATTTTACAGGTTTGATATATTATAGGCAATAAAGTGATATTATATAATTTAAGAAATAAGCACAAATATCATAGACCATGACGTGATAAAATTAAAAACTAAAGACCGTTGTGAAACATAAATAATAGCTTTAAGGTCTTAAGAGCACAACGGTATTAACAAAATAAGAAATCAAAAATCACCGCTCAAGGGTCATCACTTTTAATTTTACGACACGTGTTCTTCCAGGGGTAATGGGCCTTCCTAAGACACAGCGGGACAGTGGTCTGCCACTTAAAATGATATATTACTATTTTATGAAAAGCTCAAAGTACTTAAGTTATGGAATGCTTAAATATAGGTGCTTACTATTATCTTTGGTGATGGTATATTTCTTTAAGCTTCATTACCCCGTTATAACTGAAAACCAAAAAATGACTGTGAACGTTTTTATTTATTTATAAAACGTAATTAAAAGAGGTTTAAAAACTTAAATTTAAACATTTTGTAAGACCTGTTACAAAAAAGCCAAGAAACAAAATTTTTATAAGAAATTTATTAAGGTTAAATCTTTGTATCCCCTTTGATACCCAATGAAAAACAAGAAGAGAACATAGTATTATTAATAGGAAGATGTGAAACTGACTTTAAGAAGGCATCTAACTTAAAAATCAAAAAAAAAAAGTTTTAACGTATTATCATTCTTAGAAGATATGAAATCCGTCGTCTATTAAATATGAGTAAACTTTTTACTATGAAACCGGTCATAATAATCTTAAGTATCTTTAAAATACAAAAAACGCGTTTCCACCATGAAATAGTTTTTATAAGTCAAATTTATCCATTAGCGAACAAATATTAAAAGTTGGCTTTTTAAATAATATACATTGGACCAGAAACCTAAATAACATTTTTCTTATACGCTGGAGTAACATACAAATAGCAGTTTTTATATTAAATATACCAGTTAAGATCAAGTCTAACCCGTATAGCCTACTAAAAAAGTTAGAAAAAATATTTTTTTATTGCTTTAATATCTATTGTTTGTTTATAAACTATTTTATAATCAATATAAACAGTATCTTATATTATACAGTTAATGTTAGGCAAAAAGTTTTAAACAATTCTTAGAACGGAGTAAAACTTCTATGGTAAACTATTACGTTTAATAGGCCTTTATTTTAGATTACCTTTAGATTTATTTTGTGCTGCCCTATGCGATCTTAGTTTAGGGATCATACACCAATTTTAAGCTTCATGCAATAAATCGTTATACCCTAGTAATTCTTGGTTTTTCTCTTGTTTTGCTCGAGAAAAAGTACTGATGTTACTTATTGACAATGAGAATATCAAAAAATAATTGAATCTTGCAAATATTTAGTATTCCTCTTTTAATTTAAACTATAAAAGTTTTAATTGGTTAATTATTGTGGTAAGTCTTCAAGGCTCAGGTATTTTATAAGTTACCCTATGCTGCTGCCTACCGAGCTTGGGCTTGTACTACAATACCATAATCAAAGTTTTATTAAAAAATATTAGATAACATTTCGTGGATACAGCGAAATATATTATGCAAGGTAAATATATAACCACCGACCTAAGCCTAGAAATGATAAATAAAATAAACTAAAAACAAAACTTGGTATTATTATATCAACGTTAATACACTTATGAATACTTGTTTAAGTAAGTTGTAAAACTATTTATGTTATATATTAGTTTCTGTAACGACTTCTTAGCCTCATCTCAATTTTTTTAAGAGGACTTAATTTACTAACTTCTATCCAGTAGTAATAGATTATAAAACCAAGCCCTGCGACATGAAAAGCTGTTGTAAGGAAAAAAGTAATTGCTTCAAATACCATGATGGAGTTGACAAAAGACGCCCAGTTTTTAGTTACACTGGGGCTCTTAACTACAAACCTATTCTCTGCCCAAATATCAGTTTATATAGCAATATTAACACACCTTTACTTGAAAAAGAGCATTCGTTAAAACATAGGTACTCTAAAAATAATGTTTCTCTTATATATAACCTAATGAACATTTTTATAACCTCATATAAAGGGTTTGCCCTTTTTTGGATGATTGTAACTATTCTCATAACAACTATGAAATAGCTTTCCACCCGGATGTCTACAAAAAAAAGCCCTGTCTTTATAGTTTAGACAAATATGGACATTGCCCAGCTTTAGGAAAGTACTGCTGGAAACAGCATTTAGAAGAGACGTATAAATTTCACTGTAAAGATCTTAATGTTTGGAATGGTTTCTCTAAAACCTACGAGTTTAACTGCTTTGTCGATAAAAAAATTAGCAGCAGTTGCAAAAGTCCAGAAAATTGCCGTACCTTCGATATTCATGAAAGGTATTTTAATAAACACCTAAGATATTGGAAAGATATTCATTTCTTTTCAAGGCTAAACTATTTTATTATGCACTTCATTATTTCTTGCAAGTGAAGGCTGTGAGTTAGTATGCTTCACTGTTAATCAATTGTGCAGTAAACAATATAAGATTTTCAAGCAAGAAGTCAAGTGGTTTATTGGTTGGGTAAAATATGATGGTATAACTGATTTTTTTTATACAATAATAGTTCTATAAAAAAATAACATTCTCATTTAGCCGCCATTAAAATTTATACACTTAATTTCATGGGTTTGATAACTGTTGGCTTTAGATATGAAGAGCTAACGAAGTACACTCCTAATGGAGGGTCTCCCTCTGCTTATGGTCGCCCTGATATTCATCATCTTTACAACTATAATATGAAAAACAGCAAGTACTATATATGTCACAAGCTAAAATCAAAACTTTTGTGTTAATTGAAAGCCTTAGCAGAAATAGAAACGGCTATCATCAGGACTCATTTTGCACTTTCCAAAATAAAAAAAATTTAATTGTTGAGGAAAAAGTGGATATACTTGGCTATGTATTTGATTTTTTATGCTGTTTCCGTTGAACTTAATAAAATTTATACAGGGAACGCGTGGTTATGGAAGCAAGGATAGCGAGTTTTTAAATAAAGAACTTAGTAATGAAAAAATTAAAAAGAATATCATGCAAAAAAAGGTTTTTTAAAGTTATAATTTCCTCCTTCACTTAAAAACATTTTACTTTTGATTTTAGATGGGGAACCTTATAACAAAACTTAAACTCTATGAACGGCATTCGGGTTGCCCCGGGTGTCTTTCAATTGGAGCTAGCAGCACGTGTTACAGTTTACCATGTGCGCATATACTCTGCCACCGATGTTGTATACACAATATGAGTGGAAGTGGAGATGGCACACTGCTTTGTCCAGTATGTGGCATTAAGTTTAACAAGTCCTCTGTCATTGAGTTTTATTTATAACAGTTTATTAATGAAAAGACTATGGTTTTAAATTAGTATGTAGTTACACGACTTTTTGTATAGATATTGAAGAAAAATAGTTCTTGTTTTAGTATGTAATAATATATATTTAATATCTTCGTTGATTATAATAAAGTTTTTTAGTATATTATAAATTAAAACATTAATGACAAACTTACTTTTTAGGCTTACCTTCTTCTTAATTGTCTGTATTTTTGACTTTAACTTTACCAATTGAGCAGAGGTCTAATTGTCAGCCCTAAATTTCAATAAAACGCTGCTGGTTACAAAAGTTTATGGTAGAGCAAATTAGTGTTTAAGGTAATTATGGAAGACAATAACCCCCACTTATATTGCGTGATGTCATTGAAAATAACTCTTTCTGCAGAGCGAAGGAAAAAGTTGTTTCCATGCTTTTATACATTTGTATTATGATTGTGTCATACTGTCCTTGGCAACGCTTAAATAATTAACTTTTTAACATATTAATTTATAAGATAAAATGTAATTAACTAGTTACTTGTGTTAAGACGTGTGTTATGTAACATAAGCTATGACGATGTTTAAAAGAAAAAGTTCTGAAGCCCTGAAGCCTATTTAGAAATCCTACCAATTTTTTTTGGAAGGTTAAAGGAGCGTTATTAAAGAAAGTAGGTTAGTTTCTTAAAAAGCGTAAACTCTAGCATCAGACCCAGATAAACTTACGGAATACCGAAGGAATTTGGGATGACAAGGCGGTGACAGATAATATTTCTAATAAAGACTATGACTTTATGAAATTAGCAATTAAGAGCCATTGGCAAGGAGATGCCGTTTTTTCTCTTATCAAGCCTTATAAGGGTTATGTGGAGGCAAGTAGCACCGTGACGAATGAAATATCTATAAGAGATGGTAAAATGCTTCATCATAGAGGTCCAAAAACCTGAGGGAATGCCCACTATCATAGAAAATTTCCCGGCTTGGTTGACCTCGGGGCGAAGAATCCTTCCCATCCCCTTCTTTCCCCAAGTGACTGCCTTAGGCTGATCATGGAAGTGAAAAAAAGGGGTTGACTTCTTTAATAACCTCTGCTTGTTTATAACTATTAAATAATAGTTTAAGTTTGTTCCCACTTGAGAAGAATTGAATTAAAAAGAAACAAAGAACTTACCTTATTTACTTTACCTATTTGCCCAGAGGGCAACATTCATCAAAAGCTGTACTCGCATTTCTCGCATCGTAAATTTAAGTTCCTCGCGTTAATAAGCTGGAGATTTTTTACCCTTGTCCTATTATTTTTAATGACTTTAATTTCCTCATACAGACCGAGAGTTTACTGAAAACTACCTAAAAAAAGTAATGAGTTTCAATTTTCGATGAATTTTTAATGTTGCATATTATTAAAAAAAAAACGCATTTTCCTATATAATTTTTTTTTCTTTAGTATGTAATTTTAGTAGGTAATAACTAAGCAAAATAATTTTCGTCCTTTTGAATTTTTGTTATATATTTAAAGATACTTATTAAAGTTTTAATAAACACATTCTTTAAGTTAACCGAGCGCACACCGAATTAAATCCGTTAAAATTTTTAATATAGTTCATGGCTACTGAAATCCATTGTTTAAATAGTTGCAGCATAGCTAATCAAACCAAGAAAGGTTAGTAAAGTTTTTTTTTTCTGTTCATGAACATTATTTGAAGATTCTATTACGTGTAGGAGTATGAGTTAAACTGAAAGAGGTTTAGCCAAACATAGATCTTCCCCAAGTCAGAGTTCTCTTGACGAACAAATTATGATTTATTATATCCAAAGTATAGCTCTGACCATCTTGCCACACAGAAATTAGAAGTTGTTTTTACATATTTAAGTTCGACTAGATGAAAAAATTAAATTGAGAACACTTCTAAAAACTAAAAGTAGAGTATAATAACACTAAATTAGCAAACAAAATCATTTGAAAATTTTGGTATAGGGACACTCCAGCTCTGTGCACAAACTTTTTAATTTTATTGAGTTTCTTACATAAGGGGGGAAACTTACAAATATATAAGTTGCATAAAAAGAACTCAATAAACTTTCTAAAACAAGCGGGGTAAAAATGTATGCAGGCAAATGGCACAGCCTTGCAAGTTTTTAGTTTAAATTTGTCATTTCGGAAAAAACTTTAAATAAAGGGTTTAAAAAAATTACTATTTTCGTGTTAGCTACCTTTGAATTCTATACGCTATAGTCGTTCCCAATCCCAAATTGTTGAACGTCCTATTTTCAATAAATTCTTTTATTTTCAAGACTTATTACACGATTAAATTTAAATGTAAAAAAAGTATATATTATATTAGATACTACTATTTACACTTTTTGTGGAAAAATAAGGTTTGGAAATTTAAGTTTTTAAAACGAGTACGCGCTCTTAAAAGCCTTTTCTTCCCCCTTTTAATTACATGTGAAAAAAAAAATTTCTATTCAAAAAAAGCAAGATTTAATATTTGCTAAATTTAAAAACGCACACTACTGTGTAACGCGGTAAAAACGTTATAACAATAAAACGAAAGTAAAAAGTTTTTTGGTTATATAGCAAAAAAGTTTAGTATGGCTTTTCCTGAGTCCTCTTAAACACTCAAAAAAGAATGTTACTTTACTTCTACTATGACGTGAATCTTAGTGAAATATTTAATGTGCCTGCTTTCATAAGCATATAGCTTATTAATAGCGTTTGGCCAGAGTACTATCACTAAAAAATAAAACGTTCAGGCCTTTTGATCGTGCGTAAGCGTTTAAAAAACAATAACAGTCCAAGAACTCCTTTTTTAATTATATAGACCAGTAGTATAGGACAGATATTAACTTGTGTATAAACTATTTCGAACTACCGTAAGTGGAGTTCAGTAGTTTTTAGCAGAAAAGGCAAAATTTTGACGACAGAAAAAGGTCACCTCACATAAAGTTAATAACGTCTAAAAATTTACATATTATAGTCTCAGTTCCATTTTCTCAGCATTATTAAAAACAAAACCAACCAATACCAATACAAAGGAAATAAGCTAAAAGCTAGTAATACACTAGCCTCTTCACAAAGGTAAAAAAGAGATAAAGTTATTCGACTTAAATAGTTTTAAAATAGTATATATATTAGGTTATCGTTAAAGACTTGACTACTATTCCTTGGTTGATCTCTATTAAGTTGCTGTTTTTGTAATTTTTATATATTTTATCACCCTTAACTCAATTTTATTAGATTTTGAAATGAAGTTATTTTTCAATTTCTTACAATTTTTATTTTGTGTTTGGGGTGTTCGTATATTACAATAATTAGGGTTACAGTTCTAAAACTTATTAACTAAACAACATCTTTAATTAGTTTCTTATTATAACCTTCTTTATAATTAGTGTGGTAATTCAGAGCACAAACTTTGTATAATGATCCCCTCCAAATTAAAAAGGAAATCCAACCCCAGAATTTAAAATAATAAACAAGCAAAAAACACCGAAAATGATATACTTAAAAAATCTAGAAAAATTATCTAGAAATAAGAGAAGATTAAATATTAGGTAGCTAATTTGTACCGTTTGACGAGGTTTTACTTGTGTCTTCGGAAAATCCGGGAAGGGTCAGCTTTGAACTCTCGTAAGAGAATTAAAAAGGCTTAAGAGACTGGCTTTGTGAAAACATCAGCCGACACAGAGAAATAAGGTTTGGCCAACAGGGCATATCCCATAACTGGTTTATAAATGGCTTCTTATAAAGAAAGTTTGCTTTTCTTTTATGTATAGACTCAGAGTAAATGCTGCGATAATGAAGAGGTTTCAGTTTTAATAAACTTGTTATATGGGCACCTCGATTTGTTCAACGATATTATGAATGAGGGGTGGGTACAAGCTTGCTATTAATATACTTCTATTTTCCAACTTACTCTGGTATACTACCCCTTTTTTGTTAAGGCGTCTACTATTTTTTGAATGGTACACACAAGTGTCCTTATAAGAGCACTCAATTATCAATTATTTCAAAGCATTCTTCTGACAAGTATTTTTAGTATATTTGCAAAACAGTGTAGCTTTATATTTACCAATTTAAAAGATTTAAGAGATTGAAGTGTTTCTTAATAAGTATTCCAACGCTACCAATAGCTTCTGTAAACTCTTTTCTTTATGAATGTTATGTAGTTTCTCATTGACTATTTTATTACTGATCTTCATTGAGAAAGATTTTCATACCTCAAAAATCTTAAATAATTCTATTTCTGTATCTCCAATGTTAACTGCTTTTTTAAGTTTTCATCGATTCAAACTTTGCTATCAACCTCAAGCTTCATAAAAAATTAATAGATTTGGATTTTTCAAGACCTTAATCTCTCTATGGTTTCTTCCCACCAAATTAACAGCTGCTTTTTTAAGACGTTTAAGTTACTGTGAATGGAATAACAGATAGATATTTGATAACCTCTGTTAGTTATAAACTATTAATTGTCTTAATAAGTACTATTAATTAATAATTACCAATAACTTTCTAAACTCCAAGCAATCATAGCTCATCCTTAAAACTCACAAGTTGACTAGTAATAAAGGCTTTAACGAACAATTTTGTGTTATAATAAAAAATATTGGAAGTATTACTAGACTTAATATTTTTATAAGTGATACTCTGCTCCCTTTAGGCGGGCGTTCACTTTTTGGTGTGGTGAAATAAATGACAAAAGTCTTAAATAAATATGAGTCAGGCAACATAAAAAATCTGGCCACCACTAAACTTCATATAGTATATATATCTATTGTAATTGGCCTCCGGTATCATGCGCACTAGTTCATTTTAAAAACAGACGCACTCATCTTACGCGATTATACAGATTACATATGGAGAACTTCATATATAAAAACTCTGAGAGAAACGAGTTATTAGAATATTTAAAATTCATATTTATCGTATCGCTCTAAGTAAGGCATAACTGAATTAGTGGGCTTTATAGGATTTTTAAAGTTTAAAAAAGAGTATGCAAAAGGTAACGCACGAGATCATAATAGTTTCTTTTTGGCTAAATACAACAATATCTTTTATTAAGAGGAAAATTAGCCGTGCTATTTAATTTAACTCGTTATAAAATTCAAAGAAGCTCAAAGAGACGTTGATGTTAAAAAAAGAGATTTCAGCTAGTTTTATGTTTGTGATCTAGTTCGCGTCTATAAAGTTTAGATCATTAATTAATTTCAGTTCAATCATTAAATAAATAGTTGCAAAAAGTGAGAAATTTTTTATAATTTACATCGATGTGTGTCTATAACAATATTTGCTTTTAATAATAAGGGGACTAAAACAACAGCAATAAAACAGAAGAAACATATACCGGATTATCT